TTTTGTGCTTTGTCTTTGGTTAAAATTCTTTGAAAATGATTTTCTTTGTCTATTTTCATGGAATGGAGATTGATACATCTACTGTAGTCTGTAAACATGTGTGTCAACTTCATTACATTCTATACTTTATAATAGACCTTGTACAAATATTTGTCGACTATACAATCGTGACATCGCATAAGTAAAAAGTTTATTTACATTTTCGCAGGGGTCACCAGCGGGACTTACTAGTAATGTATTACAGTCATCAGATCTCCATTCTTGAATTATAAAATCGTACTGGCTACACTGATGTATTGTATATCAAAGAATCGACTTAAAAACTGTAGGTATCGGGTTAATGTGGGAACTAGAAAATAACAAAAAATGTAGGTCAAAGTGCAAAGTATTTGATTCTTCATCGAAATGAATCGAAAGAATTTGAATCGTCATTGTCATATGCCTTGTAATGACTGGAGACACCTACTGGTGGTCAGTTAATTACAGAATCCAGCTGATTTATGCTGTTGGACCCTGTAAGTTATACACGCCCCTTTGACTTTAGATATGTTATTTACAATGCATTAAGCCGGGAGACTGTACTTTAATCGCTCATTTGCGATGGACTACATTGACATAAATTATTCAACGGAATTTGCAGTTTGAAACAAAAATGTCCGAGACTGATTAACGGTGAAGGAATGCGATATTCCTTAGCTCCGATCAATTTCCTATAATACTTAATTACATACATACCTGTACCACCGAATATAGATTACAGATTTTCTTTTGTTCACCTTAATTAGAATTTGATTTGTTCTGTCCAAATAGTGTTTAAATATTTTATAAATTGTTTGATAAAATCAGTTCACAGTAAATAAGACTTAGTATACAAGAAATTTTTCTCGATTACAAATTTCTTCTGGAGTTGAAAATTTTAATCAGGAATGGACTCGTTTGGTAAGCAGTGTTTTTAAAGATACAAATGTAACACAGCTAATGTACAATTCAACTTGTATTATAAGACCACCTTTCAGATTTAACATAAAGACCACCTCTTGGAAGGATTTTAAGTGGTCTATATATTATATATGACCGTCTCTGAGAATGGTAATTTTTGCAATGAAGTTTCATGCTTTGAAATTTTGTTTTGGTTTTCTTGATATTTCATTTGTCTTTCTGCTTTAGACCTCTGCAATTTTTGACTGTCTGCCTGCACTTAATGTCATCATAGAGTGACCACTCCAACTGTATAATTTGTTGAATTGTGGTGTGACTTGTGAAGATGTGTCAATAATAAAATCCAATTGTTTGATAATCAGCTGTCTAGGGTATTGAAGACTTAATTTATGTTGAACAAGTTTTGGCAGACCAGTCATATTGTAAACATTATGTCATTGTTTACTTTCTATTGTACCTCTAGGGTACAAATTGAAATATGACCATTTGTATTCTGTTCTGTGTAACAATAATACAGTCTTGTTTCTTGTCAGTTGTTGTTAATTGCAATTCTTTTGTTCCTTTAATGAAACTTTTTGTTTATTGACATGTTTGTCCAATTTTTCATTTGTTAAATTGTCAACATTATTACGGTACTGTTATTGCAAATGTCTCTATTGTTATCTAAATTAGACAAAATATATTAAATTGCCCTAAAGTGTCAATAAATTTAAGGGAAGAAAGTACAGTCAGTGTCTTACAGATGAAGGGTATGTGATTTATAAAAGTTTGTTGTAGAGCATTTTCTGTACTCTTTGCTTGGGTTTGCATGAGGAACTAGCTCTAAACACCCAAACATTATGTTTGGTACTTCATGTACAGACTTGTACCCTTGCATGGTTTACTTTGGTGAGTACTTTATGGTATTTAAAACTTGGGGGACACCAGCTGATGACAAGCTTACTTGAATACAAGAATGTAGATAAATTGAGATGTGGAGGACTTTTGCTGTACAAGATACACAATGTTTATCCTGAAGGATGAAAACTTTAACTTTAGCTGTTGACTTGATATAGATATGGTAGGTATGTCCGACTGATAGGATCATGAAAACGTTTAAAGTATTAACAAAAGTTTGACACATTTTGACAGCATTCAAACCGATAGACTTTTCGGCAAAAACTTTAACATTTTGAGAAAGGGGTAAATGCATTACTTGAAATAGTTACGGGATTATGATGTTTATGGGATTATTAAGGGGTTAAGATGGATCAAGCTCGCTGTCAAGGGGATGGATTACGTCTAATTGCGGGAAAGGTAGATTGGATTAAAGGAATTATACAATGTTAGGTGGGTATATCTCAAGTTATACATACAATGTCAGCTGATATTCACAATATTTACACAGTGACTTATGGATTGGTGAACGGTCAATGGGAAATACCAGGTTTTGAAGGGAATTGGACCATTTGTCAAGTGGTTTGTTTGACTAGCTTGTAATAAATTAATCTTTAGTGTAATTATAATCCGAGAAGTAAACTGCATGCAGGGAGATGGGAATTATGCATCTGTTTGGTAAAAAAGAGGTAGATTTTCTCTTATTTATTTAAAAAGTTACATATCAATCAAAAATAATTTTGAAAATAGAATGTTATTGGATGAAATTACTGCCTAGCAGAATTGTTCCTGTTAGATTTTGTAAACATTAATAGCTCATTAGACTGGTTTATATATTATTCTTTTTCTATGTGAAAAAATGTAAATTGAAAACGATCATTATCAAATTAAAAGAATAAAATGAATGTGCTTTAATGCCTACGAACATTCAACATCAAAACTTACATAAGTGTATACGCAGGACAAAAAAAAATAGTTTGAACTAAATAAAAAATATGCCTGTAAATTTATTTTTCTTTGAAGCTTGTGCTTAGGTACATATTATTTTCTTTGTGAAAAAAAAATGTCATTCTAAGTTACGGGGGTTACATTTTGATCAGACAGGGGCATTTTGTTATCAAATTCTATTATGTTTTTTTGATCATCAAAAGACACGAGATCAATACATTGTCACCTAATTCTGTCTTGTAAATGACTCATTTAATATCTATATATCAATCTAATTACAGACCCTGCCATTAAACATTGTCATATTATTTAAGCTAATACAATTTTTTAACGATAGTCAGATAGTTTAAAACCTTTGTACGAAGATCATCAAAGACCGATATTAAGGATATTTATCAATGGGACGGAGAAATAGCTGGATAATGGCCCCGTCACCGCCAATTAAATTCACGCAGGTAAAGAAATTGACTTTTAAGACAAATTTAAGACTGATTTTTATCTTGAAAGTATTAATTAAAAGTTTATTTCGATATTTTCTTTTGTTCAGGGATTATTGATATTATTGAAGGTTTGATTAAATTGATTGAAAAATGAAATTGATTTGTCCATTCCAAAATCTTTGTACAAGAATAATTAATTATGGATTCATAAAACATTTTGACGATGATGATATCGGCAAATTATTTATGATTAAATAGAAATTAACAAAATGTTTAATTTTCAGCTCGTAGCCATTCTGTTATATTTCTTAAAATGTTAAACATTTTATTGAAAGTAATTGATATTTTTTCTCATTATACACTTCATAATACTGTATAATTATTACAAACAAATTTAAGTATTTATGATTAAATACGATATTTCCATGACAGGTCAAAATCTTATCGGTTCTTGGCGCGTCTTTGGTAATCTGTTTCTACTATTGTGTCCGGATCGGACATTGACTGCTATAAATTTATTCAAGATTCGGTCATCCTGTCTAATATAAACAATTAACTATTGTTGAAATGGGAAATTAACATATTTATGTCGAAATTACGCTTATTGTCTAGATATATATATATATATATGATAGCTAAACTCTGTTACTTTGATATGGAAGCTGTTCTTGTGAAATTAGTATAAATGATAGATTTTTATTAAGATGAAAGAATTTCTGTATTGAACAGAATTTAGATCATTCTTGATGCTTATGTGTAGTTCTTTAGCTTTGATTTTTATTGATCTTTATTTATTGAACATAATTGTTCAGATAAAAGATCAAGCTTATTAGGGATCATTATCATGATAATTTAATTTAATTTTTTTATACATGTTAGTTACATTAATTATTTTCATATAGTTTCTTGGTTGGTTTATCTTGTGAATCTATGATGAATGTCTTTAATTAATGTTACAGATAAATGGTTGTTTACATTTTCTTTTTAATGTGAGAATGTGATTAATTTCCTTGTTTTGATATGGGTTTGCGGTAATTACACCTTTTATCAAATGTTGGTGGGTCGCCATATTTGTGTTGTAAGATATGAGAAGGTATATTATGATTTCATGAGGGTTTCTGGTTCTAATAATGCACCAACCCAGTAGAACAGGGACTGACAGTAAAAAAAACAACAAATTTTGGCTTATTTCCTTTGCTTAATATAAAATAAATGGGCAATGAGATGACTCATTTAAAACCTAACTAATAGTTTTCATCTACTGGTACTTTTAGGGCTTCAGCAAAAATTGCTGGTATTCAACCTGCATTTCTGTAAAGATATAATGCAAACTGGACGGACACTTATAAAGGAAATTTCTTCAGCAGTCCTGTTCATACAAACTTAAGATTCTATTCAAAATGTCAAAAGATAGTCACTGTAATACAGAATAATCAATTTTTATTTGTCGTTAAATAATCTCGGTGAGAGATGTCGCAAACTGTCAGGTGATTTGTTTTTGCTACAGATCTCTGATTACAGATCTCTTCACATTCTAATTTTTACATTGTTCTTAAATGATTGTTTGTCTTAATATGATAACATTGATTAAACCATAAATTTTCTCTCCCGCGCGTCAGGATTTTATGACGTGTCATAAATTATCTAGGTTGACAGAGATTTTCATTATCATTGTCTTTTCTGTCGGAAATATTTTCATTATTGATTTTACAGGTATATAGCTTTAATAATGGCTGCTGAGGGAATTAAGCTCTCTTTTGATTGGTCAGTTTTTATGAAATGAGAGATTTGATTCGCTGATTATTGACAGATACCGTACATCAGTTTTAATGGGAGCGATTGTTTGTTTAAAGTTGGCACCTTTACCCTGTTGTGGGTGACAAAAGCAGGGCAAATATTTATTACCTTTAATGGAATAACAATAGTTATTGTATAAGATGATATATAGCACACTTTACTGGAGGTATAACAGTGTTAATGTATGGACAAGGTAGACAGATGTTTGGACTATATTATACCAGTGGGGATTACATGCTCAATGTTCCACGTTTTCTTAAGTAACGTGCATTGTGGATTTATAATTGTCACAGCTTCAAACACTTAACTAAATCTGTTAGAAATATGGTGCAAAATTTAACTGTGTGAAAATGAAATTAGTATAAGACACGGTTTAAAGCGGAAATGGTTATCTGTATTGGTGCAATTCTTCTGTGACAGATATGGTTTATAGTTAATATTGTGAAATAGATGGAAGATTGTTTTCTGTTATGAATTATTGAAGTGTCTGATATTGTTGGATATTTGGAAGGAATAATGGCTGCACACGAGTATGAGAACATTGATAATATCTGGTTGACAGATCGTATAACCTTGGTAAGACTCTTACGTGATAATTATTTCTGTTATTTCATGTCAATAATATTGTATGGTAGTCCTTTCTAAATGGTAGAGTATGGAACGTTGCTGGCTTTACCCTTACATACAAGGCATTTACTTGTCTTAAACAAAAGAATTCCTTGATAAATACAGTTTGATAATTAAAATGATTAATAAATCATTGAAATTGAGATACATAGAAATAGAAAAGAAATAAAGTTAGTTTTTTGATAAACATGGACTTCTCATTTCCTACATATCTTTCAGTTGGTCGACCCTCCCCTTCCCATACCATACAAGATCTCTGTTCTTGCCCTTCCTTATCGTTTAAGAAATATGTCCGACTCTCTAAACAGTACATCAAATATGGTCACTGCAATACAAGAAACAAAATAATTGATTATTTCATTTATTTCTATGGCTCATCAACTATTTACAAAATAATCTGTTTTATTTCAACAGTGATATAAAAAGCAGACGTTTACATTCGGTGCAATATTGTAAGTTATAATTATATTGATTAAAGCGTGTTTTTGCTGGCAATATTTGACTTGTGACACGCATATTGGGTTAGGTGTTAGCAATCGTGCCTGATTAACCCGGAGCTTTGTTGGGCTGTAAGCCGATAATGATATATATCGGATACCCGTCCATAATGTAGATCCCCAATGATGATAACAATATTCCACGGGGATGAATAAATGATTAAATATAGATGACTTCTGTACTGGTGTATATATATCGACTGACTTATATGTCGCCTAAAGTCACAAATTAAAGGTTTCTTTGTGTATGTGATCTACTTTATTTTTTCTGACATTTCATGTCAAAGTTTTTAAAAGAATTAATTTTATACAATTTCAGTACAGCCAATGTGGTGTTGTTGTTTTTTACCTTAATAGGATAAGGTTTTTGAATGGAGAAATTTTATTTTTTTAAATATTATGAAAATTGATACAATAGAAGGGTGGTCCATATTTTTTCCCTTCATGAGGACAGATATTAGTCTGTACCTTCTGACTTTAAAAAAAAAGAGTAAAAAATTGATATTTTTTGTATTCATGACTTATTTAAGTGCCACTTTCCTTAAATCTAAACTACTTTTCTGATATCTTCTAAAGGTGTCTGATAGTTCAAAAATATTCCTGATATATTTACAAGGTGTTGGGTAGTTTATCTATTAAACAGTTACCTCTTCAGATAGGGGCTTCCTGTGAGTGTCCCTATCTTTAAAACATAACTGAAATGGTCATCAAAATTTTGAGGTAACTTGTTCTATAGCGTTTATTAAGTTATGACTTTATTGCGTTCAATCATTAATATAGCTGTTTAAGATAAAGGACATCCTGTGTGTCACATATTCACTTCCTGTTTCAAAGTGCCTCTTTTTTCAAGTGATGCTCGGGGACTTTTTAAAGACGTGGTTTTAATTTTTTACTTTTTGTTGAAAAATATCAGAAAAATGTTTCCTGTTGTTACATACATAATTCTTGTATAGCTAAAATGTTCTTCAGAAGATGACATGCCATGTGATAAAGTTCTCGCCAAGTTTTTTGCAGCGTTAACTCTTACTTAACCAAAAGTGGCGGAAATACATATTGTAAAGAAGCCCTATACAAACTGTCAATCCAAATTTACATTTATGTCAATTTAAGCTGTTCTGACCACTTGAAAATCAATAATTTTTCAAAACTGAAGAGTACTTGACTCTAGCCTGGAGACTGCAGTGATTGCTTGCAAATATAGTCCCGTTATTTGTTATTATATTGACCCCTGGCCCTATATGTGACACGCAGATAGTCTGTACAAACATATAGATATGTATGATAAATGGTTTTAAAGGGATCAGGTTTAGTGTCAAATGGTTTAAGGATGACCATTTACTCTCCCATTACTGATCCCTTTATCTGATTATCTGTGTATTTTAATCTTTAATAGCCAGTTTAATAATAGCTTCTCCCTACTTAACGTGTCCCTTAAATCTTCAACTATTAGTGTCACTCGGAAGCTCTCTCCATCTAAGTAATTAAGTCATTTTGCTTCACTTTAGTACGAAAATACTATTATTTCTGCAATTAGTTTTAGTTATTTATTTCCCCTTTAAGCATTTTCCATTTAAAAAAAAAAAGAACATAAATCTAAATGCATCACCATTTGGCAAAGTTGATACAACTTGAGAATATTTAACTGTTAGTGTCAAAGCAGGTTGTTTTAGCACCATAGAAGTGTGGATATTGGAGCCATCTGATGGGGCACTGGCCTTTACAGCTGGTACATATTTTACCAGAGCATCCTTGGTCCCTGGGGATTTGGTCCCCCTGATCATACAAGGGTAAAAGCATTGGAGTTTGGGAGTTAATTTTTGTTGTTTTTATTTTCAATTTAGAAAAAACAACATAAAGCACTAATCTGATATGATATTGAAGGAAATTAACCTTCTTTGTGATTTCTATTTATGTTACATCATGTTATTAAACTGGTGTTTGTAAAACCTATGATGGAATTATCTGTACACACATTTCTTTTGTAAGTTGAGGAGCAAATGTTTGTTTAATGGATGATGTGGGGTTTCAGGTCTGGGGTTGTATGATGTTAGGCTGTCTGTCTCTAGGATTAAATCTTTAATCCAGTAAACAACCTTTGACCTTTGGTTTTGTAAAGAAAAGCAGCAGTTATATTTTGTAACAGTTGGTAAAATTTTAACATGTTAAAATTATAACAGTATTGCACCGAAGATTGCGGTTGACAATATTATGTCTTTAATGAGAGGAGTAGAAAAATAGAAAGGATGTGATAATGAAAGTGAAAGGCTTTAACATATATTGTAAATTTTAAAATAACGATCAAATTTTGCAAAAATTTTAGAACGAGCAGCATGGTTCGCCTCCAGTTTTTTGTGTTAGAGTGCCTCTAGTTTTAAAACAGAGTGGATTATTAATGTTGTCTCTCAAACTGCTTTGGAAAGATTTCTCTTTGTCTCGTTGGAAAAAAATATGTGTTAAAAGTCATTTGTGAGTGAAATTTGCTATCATATCATCTGATAGCACTCAGAATCGCAAGCACTTCTCTTTCACAGTTACACTGCATGCCCTACAAAACATTATTTGCCAATTTTCATTTTTCCTCGGAGAGACATTCTCGAGACCTGGTATTAGCGTTGTTGTAGAGACCTCTGATATTAGCATTTTTCGTTTTTTCTTCTTCGCTTGCAAACATTGCATGGTAGTGTCAAAAACTTGACAAACTAATTGGATGGATTCAAAAAAATGAAATTAATGAATATTTCAGCGATTTTTTTTCTCCGGTGTACGGTGCAGGGAAATGTAATGTTACACCGCTTAGCTCAGCTCTTGACTCTCTGGAAAATAGCAGTCTGAACTGTTCTTTGTCTTGATATAGAAGGGGATCAGGGAAATTATAAACTGTGAAAATTTAAAGTGAAAGTATCACAAATTGTACTTTATGTTTTGAAAATGGATGATGTTGAGGATAATTATCACACATATGTTAATACAGCATTGGAGGTGTTCTGGGACGAAACCATGCCACTGGTATATATATATATATGTTTTATTTGTTATCCTATAATAAACATGATTTACTGAATTTGTATAGTAATGTTAAAATTAAGCAGCCTGGTCAGACTGCATTGACTTACAGACTTGTTTTATTATTTATTCATGTATTGTACTGCATGGTATGTGAAAGTCAAACTAGTGCCAGCAAGTCATTATATTGTAGCATAATGATGTGCCAGTCCTTAGTATTAAAGTTTGTTGATAATTATTCGTCTTTAATATATTTTATAATAATAATGTTTTAAGTCATAACTGTACTAAGTTATAGTTATTTTGTTGTGGTTTAAGACAATCATTAGCAATTTGAAAAATTATTGAAGTGATACTGTGACTAAATAAATCCCCATTTCCTGACACTTGGGTAGAATCATAGTCTCAATATTACGACTGCAAGACCGACCGATTTTATAATCTGATTTTTCATAGATGTAAAGGGCGACCATCATCTATATAATAAAAAGCCCTAAAGCACACAATTTGTTGGGCTAGTACAGTCAAAGACCTTTCATAAGCTTGTAAACATGGAATTAAGGGAATGGTTTTAGATGTTCTTTCAAAACTTTTTATTTTTATCAAGTTTGTATAATACTTACGAAAAAATAGAAAAGACGAATCTCTACTTACTTACCAAAGCCATTTAAAAGACAGAATAGTTATTATAAGAAGACATATTTTGACGTTAAGTAGCATAAGGTTTTAATTTTGCCTCTTCTTTTTTCTTTGATCATAAGCCTGAACATTAATTAATTAAATAGTAGTTCATTATTTCGTTAATATTTTTCCTCCAGATTACCAATTTCTTGTCATGCGTTCAAATCTTCATTGATTTTTTTTCTTCATGATGCGGACAATAAATAAGGAGTAGCCATCTGCAGGGAGAATCAAAGATTAAGAGTTTTCTGTCTCATTTATCCTCAATAAGGCATGCCTTAATTGAATTCTATCACATAGAGGTACTGGCTAATGATTCATAATTGGAATCTATTGTTTGCACACTGTGGATCTGAGAGAACGGGTGATGTGCACCAAATAAAACAAAAAATTCCTCTTAAGAAGAATTTAATGTCAAGGTCATCATCTTTTGTGCACCTTTGATTGTTTATATTTATTTCTACCATTATTCTGGGAAAATTTTATGGTTTCATAAAAAATTCTTTGTTTGTAATTCCAATTTTTTTCTTGTGAATTTTGAATAAGATTGGAACCAGAATTCTGTATAAATCTCAACTTTATTAAGGCGCCTTTTCAAACCAGTGATATGAATCAGCTATGTAAATTAAGCTTAGATTGTGTAATTTGTTTGGGATAATGTATATACATAACATATGCAGCGCTGTGCATGTTACTGTGTGTTTACATCAAGTACGTGACATGAGCAACCAGTGCATCAGTCTCGATTACAACATGATCTCCGAATAATTACTCATTCTTAGTACATAGCAAATTACATATTGCATAATTATTTATGAATAAGTACTTTTTAACATGATCGACACAAACAAAAGAATTACTTTGCAAACAGATAATTAGCAAAAAAACAACAACATAAAAACAGAAAGCAAACAATTTGAAAAAATGTCACAGATGGTCCTAAAAAATAGAAGACAATGGTCTTGGAAACTTTAAGACTCAATTAAGCTACAAAGGAATTGGAAAACTGATCTGGAAAACTGATGTATCAATTTTAATTTCGTCAAAGACAAAACAAATTCTTTGGGGAAACATTGTTTTTTCTGATCTGAATAAAGAATTTCATTTGCATAATAATTAACAATGAAGGCTTGGCCGGGTACCATACTATTGTTCATATATTTACTCATTTCCTACAGGGACAAAAACAACTATTTTGCTCACTATGTAATAAACATAGGAGAAATTTTCTATCAAATTTACACCAGATGTTTTATCATATGATTCAAGTTATCCAGGCTTCATATTATGACATATCTCTGGGGCCTGACAGTAGACATGTAGTTTGTGAAACCGAGGCAACATGCAGTAAAACATTGTTGTTTTCAACATCCATTAATGATATTTGTATGTCTTTACATCAAGTGCATTGGTAATGTAATGGAAGGTTTTTGTATCTTTTTTTGCTGAACATCAAAATAGTACATCGAAACAATGTAATATGAATGTTATCAAAGCACGATTTGTATAAAAAAAATGGAGGGGAAAAAAATGTTGCTGAAAAAGTCTCTTTACTTGTTAATTTGAGCCGTGTCATGACAAAACCAACATAATATGTGTGCGACCAGCATGGATCCAGACCAGCCTGCGCATCCGCGCAGTCTGATCAGGATCCATGCTGTTCGCTTACAAACCCTATAACAAGTAGAGAAACTGATAGCCGCGGAACAGAATGGATCCTAATCAGACTGCGCGAATGCGCCTGGTCTGGATCCATGCTGGTCGCAAACTCATTATGTTGGTTTTGTTGTGACGCGGCTTATATTTTTTCCCACTCATACATGTGTGATAAAATTTAAACAAGTTTGATACATTAAAGAGAAAGCTTAAATGGCTGCCAAAAGATGTAAACGACCTAATGGTGCATCTAATATGCCCGTCTGCTGAAACAATTACAATATCATTTGTGATAGAATTACTAAATTTTCAGTAAAAAAGTCTGATATGCCAAGAAAATTTTTTTTTCTGTCTGCAGAAAATCTTTCATCTCTTTACAATAATGTTAGATAATAAAGGGAAATGAAGTTAAGCTTAGAAACATCTCCGTAACTACCGGTAATATTGCAGTTATCTTTATAAATAATAATAAATAATTTTCAGTTTCAAAGGATAACATAATTTCAGAGGAAAGGAGGAAGGTTGGCAAGTGTCCCTTTTAAAATTAAATTGGGGCCTTTTAGGTTAAGTTGTAAAGGTCACCCACTATGAATCTCTCACTGCTTTGGGTTTGAATCCCTCTCAGGACTTCAGAACCTTTCATGTTGGGAATGGTGCATAACCCGCTAGCTTAATGAAGGTCTTTTCAAAGTTCTTTTCAAGTGCCAGTGAAACAGTGCATGGAGGAGCACCCTTGGTCTTGACCTTCACCAGTCAAAACATGTATATGACCTTTACAGTTCCTGAACAACTGAAAACCCAAGATGAACAAAATGAATAATAATGTTATACATTGTTGAGTACAATACTAAATTCTGATGGATGAGATTGTCAGAACCATTGTACTATGTTCTTTATTTCAATGTTATATATTTTGAACTTAACAAAAGCGATTCATAGCCAAAAAAAAGATGGAATTATATTTTATTACATTAATTATCAAGTAACTCAGTAAATAATGTATGATACAACAAACAGCTGACATTTGTACAACCATAAAGGCTTATCAGCTATTTACTTTTATCATATGGTTCAGACCTATCTGTATAATTTCTGAGCAATAACTCATTTCTTACTTGTACAAAGAGTGTTTTCAGTTCAGATAGATGTATTTTGTGTGGTGTTTACAGTTTACAGTTTAGAGTAATACTCAGGGTGTTTATTTTCATAGGAGTCTGAGAATTTTCTCTTGGCATGTTTACAGAAACAGGCTTTCACTTGACGAATTTTCCTCCCTGTTTCTGTAGGAATGCCTAGATGTATATATATGTATTTATAGATATATGAAATAAACTTACATGTATTTTAATCTGTCATTATCAAGACAAATCTTTGAAATGGAAAATAAAACATTTGTACCGCCATAATTATGGAAAATGGTTTTCAACCCTTACAAATCCTCCTGAATTTGTGAAATGAATTTGCCCAGATCTGAATTTGGAAATAGTTCAAAGTTTAAGGGATTTTAGTGATGAACAACTGTTACATATAAATGAGATTATATTTATATTTACCAAATGCTTTTTGTCTATTTTCAGTCACCTGGTAGAGGGATAGTGAAGCCTATAGCATTTAAGCCAGTGGCATCAAATCCAAAATTTGTAAACTCCCCTAAACAGTATAGCGAACATCCACGCAAATATTCTAGTCACGATGATGGATATGGCTCACAAGACTATGGAGTGACCAGTCAGAGTGTAGCAAATACGTCACATGGCTCCGCCTACTCACAGATGGATTTTGACAGGTATAAAAACAAGAAATTATGATACAAATTTTGTTACGAATATGATATAACTGGCTATAAGTGAATATTTGTACAAATCTTGAAAGTTGATGTACCAGTCATTATCTTCAGTATCTGATTGGTTGTTTTATTATGGTCCAAAGTTTGAATTTGACCAATTTTCAGTAGACTGGTCCACAAATGGTAAAATAAAAGAATTGCAAGACCAGGAAATTTAAAAAAAAAGATTTCTAAAAGGTCTTTGCCTCATTTATCTCATGATCTGCTTTTGGGTAATCAACTCTATTTTTTGATAGTTACACATCTGTTATGACTATCTCCTTTGTTCTGCCATCAGCTGCTTCCAGTATGATATCCCTAGTAATGTTACCAAGATCATTGATTATTGAATGGTTTTAAAACGTTTACAATACAAATCATTCTATTGCATTTTTATAGGCATCGATTTTCCTCCCATAGATTTTCTTAACTTTTCCCACACTGTCTGCGAACTTTATGAGTCTTATATCAAGCGTATTTCTATACTTAATATACCATTTAAAGCTATGCATTTAAACAAGATGTAACATAACTTAAATAGCTCAATTTCACAATGAAAAGCTTTGATTTTATTTCTTGATATCAAAGGCGTAAAATTTATACAGCATATCTCCATGATAGCTGGTTTTATTAATTTTGCCATCATTTGATGTTTGAAGAAGAAATTATTTATTGGTTCAGAGGATAGTTAAATAGGGGATATAAATTGACCATTTTACCTGACAAAACTATTATCCTATGTTAATAGACTGTGTTACAGTTTGACATCAAGGTTGAGAACATGAGCTGATCATATTACAAAACCAGTCGAACACAATGAGTCGGCAGATTTTACTCTCTTTTCTTTTCTTTTTTTTATTCATGTTATGTCAGAAAACTTGATGTTTATCTTAGAATTAAATATTTTAAGTAGGTCTGTTAATTAATAAGACCAAAAAATGTATAGTTTGGGTTAATTCATTGGAATAAAAAGATAACATTTTGTTTACAATTGGCAGGGCAGTAGGTTTTTTTAGCACAAGTCAGTTGCAATCCCAGCCTTCACTTTCCCACAAGTGAGGGGGGTAGTTGGAGACGAGTTTTTATCTGTCTCTGCATTGCTGTCCTTTCTGCAGGAGTTGTAATCTTCTACTATTTCAAATAAATTCTGCTTTTTTGCGTTTCTCACATTATCTGAAGAGGTTACATCAAATATTGTAAAACATCTGTCAATAATTTATGTTATCTGACAACCATCCTTTAATTATCATGTTCTGTAACTACTGCATTCGACTCTAAATAATAATACACTATCATAGTCACAGAATACTTAAAAGATGAAATATAACTAGTTTCAGGTTATGATCTGTTTACTATGTACTTGTGTTTGTGACTGAATTATGTTCCTGTAAAGTGTAAAAATGAAACAAGAGATTTAAGTTTTGGGCTATAAATTGTATTCTGAATTACAATTTCATAGCATAAGTATGTAGTCTGTGAAATTGTATAATAAATTGACATTAAACTCAACCAATTGTTATCAGTGTTGAGCAGGAAATTTTATTGTAAAGTTACTCAGTAACTTGAGGAATTTTATTAGATTTTATAAAAATTAAAGATAAACAATTTATTCAATTTCTTTATCTAAATTCAGGTCTGCCAGTTTCTCAAGTGATTGTAACAGGACCTCTGATAGGGCAGATTCTGTAGCCGCATCCCACATGAGTAGGCTCTCATCCAATCAGATGGATGGTTATGTTCAAACACCTTCACCAAGTGATAGTGGTGTTGGTGAGCTGGAAGCCATCTTGAAAGAGAAAGATGCTGAAATAAATATATTAAGGGATGTAATGGACAAAAATGAAAGAGCAATATTTCAAGTGTACGAAGACAAGAAACATGGCTGGGTGAGAGATATTCAGGAAATGAAAGAAGACTTTGATAGACAAATTAAAGAGTGCAAAAGAAAATCATACAAATCTGAGCAAATTCTTAACCTGCAAGTATTTAAATTACAGCAAGACAAAAAAGGATTAAAAGATGAAATTGATAAACTAGTTGCAGAAAAGGAAGATTTGCTTCAGAAATGTGAGGCTTTCGCTGAAGAAACAAATAGACTGCAAACTCAGATGGATGACGCAACTTGGCAGGGTCAAGGGCGAAGATCATCGGGGGATGTGTCAAACTTACAAAATCAAATAGATCATTTACATAGTGAACTTACAGACAAATCTGAAGAAGTGCTAAGACTTCAATCAAGACTTGAAGAAGCGAAATCCAAACTGGATGAAACTAATGCAAATATCGAAAACAGAAACCGTCAGTTTTCGGAGCGGTTAAACTGCAACACCTCTTCAGATAGTCTTATGAGATTAAATAATTCCGGTTCTGATATGGAACCGGATATCCCATTGTGTCATTGTGAAAAGGAAATACAAACTGATTTCTCTAAAGCTAAAACTCCAGAGAGAGAAACACTAAAGCCATCATTAATATGTGAGAAAGACAAAGAAGTAAACACTTTGCGGGAAGAACTTAATAAACTCCGTCTTGAAATGCTAGTCAATAAAGAAGAACATGAGAAAGAGAAAGAACAATGGCTCGAAGAGAAGAACAAAGTGATTATGTACCAGAAACAGTTACAGTTAAATTATGTTCAAATGTTCCGCAAAAACAAGGTTCTGGAGGCCGAAGTTGAGCAATTGACTCTTGAACTTGAAAGCCGAGACATGAAATTGATGGCACTGAATGGGGAGGAGTCTGTGTGCTAAATATATAGTAACAGAAGCTATTGCCAGTACATTATACAGTATGGGTGGCTGTATGTGTGTATTATAAGTGTTCAAACAAGTGTTGTATGTCAGATTCATGAAATATTTTCTTTCCATTAACTTTGATTGCTGATACAAGTGTAACTGTGTCAGTACAATAAATACAAAACTATAGTGCTAACTACCTACCTGAAGAAATTGTTCGGAAAAAAAATCCTGGAAATGATTTATTGTATTGTTTACATAGTGGGGAAGTTATTGTATTGGTACTTACATACAACATATATAGTTATTTACTAAGCTGAGATATTAAGAATGTTATGGTACAAATTAAAATTACCATAAAAAATGTTAACTTAGGAAATAAGCTTATAAGAAAGTTTATATTTTTTATTTTACTTAACAAAACCAGAAAATATTTATTTTTTATCAATAGCTAAGATACAGATATTGTTAAAAAAGCTTTTTTTTATGAATTTTTTCACTTCACTTAGGAGAATTGTATATTTTTGTACTTTCCGGGATTGTCCTGTTTTGTTCAGAATTTTGTTTTTGTATGGAAAGAAGATGAGTCAGCCTCAGATTTATATACAGACACAAGTCAGTTCAAATCAATGTATTCAAATATATACAGTCTGAGACAAATTACAGTATAACATGACTAGAATATGCAAATTAGTTTCATCTAACCCTTAACCGGCTAAATTTCTGAAATTGACTCAGAAAACCTTTCACATTTGGAAGTGTCCATTATCAATTTTGGAGATATCAAGATGAAAATATTAAGGTAGTAAGCCAAAGGTATAGAGTTTGATCAGACTGCAATGATATGTAGGCTTTTTCAGAAATATATTGCATTATAAAAGTGATTATTTCAAGGTACTTTCTCATGAAATCCATCTTATCATACACTAAGCTCAGCTTTACTCACTTCACTGCAGTGCCTTGTGGTCAGAGCAAAAAACTCAAGAAACTTTTATTTATGTTCAAAACATTGTATGCATATTAGATAATTTTTATATTCTTTCTTGCGCTTCCAATTCATAAATTTGTCTGCATTTGTGTTACATGTTCTAGAAAATATCTTAATACCGATATAAAAGAAAAGTAAGCATCACTGGTATTTTTGAAGTCCTAGGAATATTGTTTATGGGACTGTATTATTGATCATAGAAACATAAATTGATAATTTATGTCACTAACGATTTGCCAGTGAATTGAATCTGTTTATATTGTCACAGTATAATAATCCAAATGTGTGCTGTGAAGCTATGTTAATTAAGAAATATGTATGGTATATTAAACTTGTACCAACATATTTATGTTCAGGTACAATCCAAATTTCTTTGAGCTTGAGAGAAACATTTATTAACTGGATTTTAAGCAGGCAGACATAATTTTGTTAACACTTGAGAAGACTATATGTATAGAATGTTTGTAAGTATCTCCCTTGAATTATATTTCTTGAAGACAGAAGCATTGTGGCCTAGTCATAATACACACTGTGTTTTCTGTTATTTAATGTACATATTTTTTTTTTCAAAGTGCCAAAGATCATGAAATTGTGTTTTGTAAATTTGATATTAAGGAGGAGTTATCTTCTGTAGGGAGGAGTTATGTAATGGAAGGAGGAGTTATTTAATTGAAGGTGGAGTTGTGGAAACTTTAAGAATGAGAGATTCTAGATGAATTTTGGGTATTTGTTGAATTGTAAAAGTAGTTTTGGGTATTATAATCATAAAGTTTATAAAAAAGAAAACAAATATGAAAACACAAAATGGAAATTAATATTGCTGTCTTTTAAAGGAACTCCACTGAGGGTCAAAAGCCTAAAAAATGAATTTCTTACATGGATTATCCAGGGCACGTAAAAACAGAAGGATATGCTGAAGATAATAAGAAGTTTACCCAGAAATATATTGAAAATCATTAATTTTATCCCAATTTCAGTAAAAAGCGTTGCAAAGCTTTTCAATTTTAGTCACTTTTCTCAATTAAAATTTTTATTCAGGAAAAACAGAGTAAGCGAATTATCTGAAATTCTGCACACAAGTTCTTGGACTGACAACAAATGGAACATTAATCTTGAAAAATTATTTTCAGTGCAGTCATGTCAAAAAACCTCAGTGAAGTCCCTTTAAATTTTAGATATGTCTTCGTGATGTAGATTGAAATCTTCACTGGTTAGACTCAAAGAATTAAACACAAAAAATTGTTGTTGTTTTTTATGAAGACACAGTTAGTGCTAAAGATTGACATAAATTATATTAATAAAAATATTTTCTTTATAAAAGCATATTTCCGCGTGTAAATAATGTAGGAGTGAAGTAATTCATACATGATGACACCTTTTGTATTCAGTCATCTAATTGAAGAAGGAAAAATTCAGTTATTTTCAGAATGTGACACAGTTAAAAGGTGAAATTGGGTTTTAATTGGAATATCAAATTTAAATGGTTCTCAAGTGTAAGACCTCCAGCATTGATACATGTACTTTTTTTTAACAATTTCATCTTATAAGTTGAGTTTTTATTGTGATATTTTTTTGTGTAAAGAAGTGCAGAGTTGAACAATTCATTTTTTTTGTTACTTAATTGATAATGTTATTATTGAAATACCTGTTTTCTTATAATGGACAAGTCCTGTCAGTCGGTATGGAAGCTGCCATTTCATGATTAAAGGGAGGAAAGTGTTCTAGTTTGTTTGGTAATTTGAATGATATAAAACTTGTGTTAGTAGAACAGCACGGTTATTATTATTAATTCTGTTTTTGCATAACTTAAAATAAAACACTATAACAAACAATTACATGGTTTTTGTTTTGATTTCTTTTGTATTTTAATGATAGGTGGATAAATCTCACAGTGGTTCTACATCATCTTTCTCCTTCTGCCAGTGACTGTGAAGCTAGAAATCTGACAAATAACCTTGACAGTGTTGGTGTGACTTAAAAAAACACACAACTAGATATAATACACATACATGTATATAAATATATATTATATCTTTTATATAAAGCCATAACAGTGGCAGCATGGCCCAGTGGCAGCATGGCCCAGTGGTTAACAGGGTGCACTAGTAATCTAAGGATTGTTGGCTGCATTAGTTCAAACCCTGCTTGATGTTCCGTACACAAAGAAACTACATTTATTGCACAGTACTGGTTGGGTCCAGAAACAGATTCAAGAGCGTGAAGCTAATAATTTCTTACATAATTTAGCTCACATGATATGATTTAAACATGCTTTATATTGCAAAAAGAAAAAACAAGAAAAAACACCAAACATATATAATTTCTACATACAATGTACATGCAGATAGAAGTGTTGACTCACAAGTTCTCTCAGCAATAGTAAAGGGTCTTCCCCTTGAACCTTCTCAATTTCTGTATAAACTTAAAATGTGATCAAATTTTGAAGCTTAATGATGCCTCTTGAATGGCTTTTGCGTTCAAGATTATCCATACTTTGTATGGATTCAACTAACAAATTTAGGAAAGATACCTTTTTCCACTTGAAATCTAAGAAAAAAATGTGTTAGGTGATTTTCTATCTACTTAATTTCATAATACCGTACAAGCACTAGTCTACTGTACTTTACATCCAGTAAATGCTTTAAAACAAGGTTTAGAGGTGTCCATTGAAGTATTTTTCAGCTAAACTAAGTAACATGAAAAATTTCTTATCCAAGGGAGACAAATCTTACAACTTTTAACAAATCTTTGTTAGAGTTACTTACCATTGATCCTGCCAATGCCTTAATACAGATTAGTTGTTACAAATTTTAGTTAGTTATTTTTATACAGATGTCGGAATATTATGGACATATTATCACTCCTGTAGGTACATGTATATAACATTATTGGCCAACATACCTACATCAAACTTCCTGGTCGACTCTGACATGCAATGGTTGCAAATCCAATTCCTGGCAAGGTTTTACGTATGTTTAAATGGAACAAGCAGCCTCCTTTATGCTGAACATCAACAAAATAATTACAATAGTCAGTTGACAAAGCCTAACAATAACTCAGAGAAATTCTTTTAAGCAAACAGACATATTATATATGCCATATTCACATATCATTTGTGCCACGAAAAAGCTTTTGCTTCAACTAATACATACTGTATTTTATCATATGCAAACATTTTTTATCTCCTTTTTTTATAAATATAAAAACATTTAATTAGAGTGGTGGCGTAACAGAGCAGTTAACAAGTCGGTCCAGTAATCTAAGGATTGCTGACCATGTGGGTGCAAACCCAGTCAAGGGCAATCCGTTGTTTCTTTAAGCAAGAAACTGTACTCATTGCTTAGTACTGGTTGGTTCCTGGAACAGATTTGAAAGTGTTTCAATAAGCTTATAGATTCCAACACAATCAAACTAAAATATATTTGTATAAACTAAAACATTTAATTATTTGCCCTTTCTGAAAGCTGAATCATAGCAAGACTGCTCCTTCCTCACCACCAGATTGTAGAAGTAGGACCTTTAAACTAGTGACCCAAAAACAATAGGTGACATATAATAGTTATGACCAATCAATATTAGAAATATGAAAAGCTTTCAAGATAATAATTGGAAACCATACTAACATTCAAGAACCCTGTGAGATTGACCTTTGACCTATTGACCCCGAAATCAATAGGGGTCACTTACTAGTCATAACCAATCAGTATGTGAAATATGAAAACTTTGTGATAAATAGTTTTCAAGATAATAAGTGGAAAACCATTCTGAAATTTAAGGCCCCTGTGACCTTGACCTTTGATCTAGTGACCTCAAAAGCAATATGGATCATCTGTTGGTTATGACCAATCACTATGTGAAATATGAAGATTTTGTGATAATTATCTTTCAAGATAATGAGCTGAAATCATACTACCATTCAAAGACCCTGTAGCCTTGACTTTTGACCTGGTGACCCCAAAATCAATAGGAGTCATCTACTAGTTATTACCAATCAATATGTGAAATATGAAGACTTTGTGATAAAAAGTAACAAAGATAATAAGGGGAATCATATTACCATTCAAGGCCCCTATGACCTTGACCTTTGACCTAGTGACCCAAAAATCATTAGGGCTCATCAACTAGTTATGACCAATTATCAATATGTGAAATATGAAGACTGTGATGAATCGTAACCAAGATAACGAATGGAAACCATTCTGACATTTAAGGCCCCTGTGACCTTGACCTTTAACCTAGTGCCCCAAAATCAATAGGGATCATCTACTAGTTATGACCAATCAATACATGAAATATGTAGACTTTGTGATGAATACTTTTCAAGATAATCAGCGGAAACCAGACATTTAAGGCCCCTGTGACCTTGACCATTGACCTAGTGACCCATAAATCAATGGGGGACATCTACCAGTTATGACCAATCAATATGTGAAATATGAAGACTTTGTGATGAATTGTAAGCAAGATAATAAATAGAAACCATTCTGACATTTAAGGCCCCTGTGACCTTGACCTTTAACCTATTGCCCACAAAATCAATAGGGATCATCTACTAGTTATGACCAATCAATACGTGAAATATGTAGACTTTGTGATGAATACTTTTCAAGATAATCAGCAGAAACCAGACATTTAAGGCCCCTGTGACCTTTCATAGACCTAGTGACCCTAAAATCAATAGGGGTCATCTACTAGTTATAACCAATCAATATGTGAAATATGAAGACTTTGTGATTGATAGTAACCAAGATAATAAGCGGAAATCATACTACCATTCAAGGCCCTTGACCTTTGACCTAGTGACCCCAAAATCAATAGGGGTCATCTACTAGTTATGACGTATCACTTTGTGATATATGAAGACTTTGCAATGAATTGTAACCAAGATAATGAGCGGAAACCATTCTGACATTTGAGGCCCCTGTGTCCTTGACCTTTGACCTTATGACCCCAAAATCAATAGGGGTCATTTATTAGTTATGACCAATGAAAATGTGAAATCTGAAGATTTGTGATGAATACTTTTCAAGATAATCAGCGGAAACCATTCTGACATATAAGGCCCCTGTGACCTTGACCTTGTGACCCCAAAATCAATAGGGGTCATCTACTAGTTATGACCAATCGCTATGTGAAATATGATGACTTTGTGATAAATAGTTTTCAAGATAATCAGCGGAAACCATGTGGTCTACCGACGGACAGACAGACATTAGCAAAACAATATACCCCCTCTTATTCGAAGGTGGGCATAAAAATCTTTGAAATATATCTGTGCATGTGCCGGTTTTAACAATGTGATTGCAATGTTGTTATGAAAAACAGCTTGTCTGGTTATGAAAAATTTAAAGGATTAACAAGTTTTCATGGCAAAATTTGTTTTTAAAGAATAAGTGGGGCAAATGGAAGCCTTTTTATTGGCTTTACTTTTATAATTTGTGGCACATCTGATACAGTCAAAACTGCCCAATCGGCCACCTTTATAAAAGGCCACCTGCCTAAGTGCGCCATCTCTGGACATCCCCAATGTAAATTACTATATATTTGTCTTTTATAAGACAGCCACCTGCTCAACGCCGCCAACGGCCACCCATTTTCATCCCCAAATAGCCAAAATTACTAGATCAAACGGCCAGTACAAAAACGTTTGTCGCCATTTTGGATCCAATATTTTTTCTGTACCATACCGTTTTCGTACCGTTTTACATTAATTTTTACCAGTAGTCGGTAAATTTGTTTGTAAGTTTGAAAAATAACTTGTTTAAAATGTGTTTCATTTGAGTAAAATGTTTTTGATATACACGTATTTTCGAAAGTAAATGAAAGTAAAGTGAAATTCTAATTGTGCGTAGAAATTTCTTTTAAATTAACCACTTTAACGAAATCTAACTGCAAAGCAAAATTTAAGTTGTCCAATTTATTAAGTTGAATCTATACCTTTCAATGTCTTATAATCGCTAATCCGATTGTTTTGAAGACGTGTAATATGTACAGGGTATCAATCTAATACACGCCGCCGGGCATGACCTTTCTTTGTTTCCATATTAAGCAACGTCACAAAAATCATATAGTGGCAGCTATTAATTGTCACAAATCAACGCATTACTCGGCAAATTTCTTCGTTTGTATTGAGAACAACTTGTTTTTAATTTCCCTTTGTATGAATAAAACGTAAATGATATCTTTTCCTAAAGTTTACGGAGTTGAAAGAAATTAAATTGAATCAATAACCGAGCATAAATCATGTTCATGAACTGGAAGAACTTAGTATCAATATACATATGGAAGCGATGAGTAAACAAACTTCAATTCTAGACTTTTTTAAACAAAAATAATGTGCCAAATTACTTTTACTATACAATGTATATCTGACTACCTGACTTTAATTTTAAAATGCACATTTTAACACTTTTTATCAATCACATGTATATGTTCTTCTTAACATTAGATTTTTAACATTACATATTAAATTCTATGTTTTAAATGTTTTATCTAAAGATAAAAAGTGAAATCATTGCAATTCATGGTGTTTTACGTCATATCTAAAAAATAGTTAAAAATAGTCACTTTTCCTAGCCAGAGTTCAGCCCTGGATAAGAGAGCCACCTGTATAAGAGAGACACTTTTACAAATTCCCAATACTGTCTCTCTTATACAGGTTTGACTGTATTTATATTTTTTTGGCATTTTCGAAAGTCTTGAATGTCCAATTTGAGGAATAGCAATTTGACCACATAATGATACATACAGTTTCTAATAGACTTACTCCGGAATTAAAAATATTTTGGGTTTTTCCAAGTACAAAAAAAACTTTTACAGTTACAGCTTTGAAAGTAAGATCAACAGGTTGATTAATCTATTGTGATGGATGTGCATTGTGAAGCTATATTGGAAAAAGTTTGTTTGTAGGTATGGATTAGCTGGGAAAAACCAATATTTGAAGAGTTCCGGACATCTATTCAATGAAATAAATTGATGAAAAAATATCAAAGTATCATACATTTATTTCCCTTTATTCACATATCATACAAGCAATCAATAAATAGCAAATATATTTTGAAAAAATCTGAGACTCTAAATACAATATACATTCATACAACTCTTAACATTAAAGTTACACTTCCTTGAAAAATAATAAAGTCCATGGACATTATCACAAAGTATATGTACTCGTTTTGTAGATACAATGAATGTTAGGATAAAAGCTAGATTAATTCATTTCAAATTAGACACAGGTATCTCACAATGTCGATGATCAAAACATTTTCATTTTTTTCAAAGAGAACAAATTTGAATCAGGAAATTATCATATTATGTATAAACTGAATTGATGTTATTCATGCCTATAAAACAAAATTTAACTTAAAGAACATTAAAATACCACCGACAGGAATAGAACAGCAAAAATCAAAGAGATATACTTAACTTATAGAAAAAAATCTAAAATCTGACTTACAAAACAAGAGGGTCAAACAACTTAAACACAAAAATTTGACCTAAATAACAGAATCAGGTAACTCAAGCTGTCAGAACAAGAAAACCCTAGTATTTACTGGTTTTGAACAACAGAATCCAAATTATTGAACAACAAATTCAACTGAGAGAACAACAAACCCTAGTTTACCGGTACAGAACAACAAAATCTAATTCATAAAACAACAAAACCTAGTTTACACAAAATTCAACTTACAGAACAAGAAAACCTAGTGTACTGAAAAAGAACAACAAAATCCAATTCATAGAACAGCAAACCCCAGTTGACACAAAATCCATCTTTCAGAACAACAAAACCTAGTTTACAAATATAGAACAGCAAAACAACAAAACCCTACTTACAGAACAGAAATAAAAATACTTGATATAAAGGTATTTATTATTTATTATCTACAAATAAAAATTTGTCTTGTCTAGCAAACCGGTTGTTCACTTATTCAAACAGCAATATTCCTTATATTTAAAAGTACAGAAGCAATTCAATCATCAAATTAAAATCCCTGAACATATACAGAAAATACATGAAACAACAATATATCAATATACTTTCTATTGATGACATCTCTAGGAACAAGATATACATGTATAATTATACAGAAAAGAACTGTTTTAAAGCTAACAACAAATATATTGCACAACTATAATGAATAAAAAAAACCTCACATATAAAATATTATAAATTTGAAAAAATAACAACTAATGAATGATAAGACTTGTTCAATAGATAAAATCAGAGGTTAAAGTGAAATTATGCCCATTTTTATGTGGTCAAACTGAGCTTTATTAGTTACATTGTATACACTTCAAAAAGATTGACTATAATAATGATCTTTGACCATAAATTCATAATAAGAAATGTGTAGGACTGCCTAAAATATAAAAAGACTGCCCCACCCTTTTTATCAATTGAATGTTACACTTACAGGTACAATACAAAATTAAAAACAATTCTGACAAAATTTTAAGCTTTTTTTCTTTTATCTGCATACTGACCAATTACACATAGATGGGCATTATGTCACTTAAAGTGTTTGCAAATACAATGAAAATGAATGTGCGATAGCATTATATAAGATGGCACATTTTAATATCATTGTATGAATTTTTCAAAGACTTATATACAATCAAGAATTTTCTATTTAGGCCTAGATTTTCGAAAAGATTTAGGCCTAGATTTTCTAAAAGACTTAAATGCTTATAACCCTGTTAATTTTAGAAATAGAATGAAGTAAATGACAAAAATAAGGCAACAGTAAGATAGTAAAATAATGATGTACAGTGATCATTTCTCCCGTTTTTCCAGATTATTCAAAATGTAATTTGGTAACCAGTCTTCTCTAAAGCCTTTTCATTGGTCAGAGCAAAGTACACAGTATATTCCAACAACCAACTAATGAAACTGCAAGTAAGACAGACTGGTCACCAAATTCAAGTTTAAATAATGTAAAAATAATGAAAATAACTTGAATTTTGCAAAATATACAAATAAACTATATAACAAATATAGAAAAAAACACCTCTAAATGCTGTAAGTCAAAATAACAGTAGGCCTATACCACCACCAAAGAAATGAGTCCGTAAATAGCCATACATGCCATAACATCCCGGACGTCCGGGATTGTCCCTGAAATAAGGTGTCTGTCCCGGAGATGATTTATGTCCCGGTAAAAGTGATTTACCTTAATGATGTCTAATCAGACATTTTCTGGTAAATTAAAATTTATCAACTTGATAGTGCATTTCTTTCTAATGCTACACAATAGGTTATTAAAATTGAACCCAAAACATGTCCATTATACAGAAATTCAGCAGGTGTAAGGATTTTAAGAAAAGTAGTTCCATATTCAGCACATCATTCAAATTCTGGAATGTCATCATACGAGTAGCCTGCATATCCCTGATAAGCGTAGTATGCAATCCTGACATGGTAGAATCCAGGAATGAACATTATAGAGCCTAGAATCAACACAGGCCATGTTCTATCACCATACTGTAATGTAAGAAAATAAAATATTTCAATCAATTACATACTTAGTTGTTATCTTAGAAACCTAAATTCTCATTCAACATAACAGTGTCTGATAAACTATATGACACAAAACTTGAAATTTATTTAAACAAACTTAAATTTAACTTATGATTATACAATTCAACATTTTTTTAAGTTTGAAGACATTGATAGATCATCCAACAAAACAATTCTGCCCCACTTTCCAGTTGCTTGTCGTATTATACTATGTCCCAGTTCAAATCCACTCTTGACCAATCAGTAGATAATGATAAATAGTTTTACCTTGGCATCAATATATCCAGTCATGAGCAGGGAGCCAATAACTAGGAGGATACTTCCAAGTACAAACAATACAACAGACAATAATATAGCTTTTGTTGGAAACTTTGGTGGTGGTTTCTCAAACTGTAATAACAAACAAATTACACAGATAATTAAGATAATGACTTCATCTGTAATGATAAAAAAAACATGTATTGTACAACTTTATTATAAACTTTTCAAAAGAAATGACATTTTTTTCCCCCAACAGTATGTATATAGTATGTATAAATTTCTATTTTTTTTAACTGATCACTGCTGTTACATAGTATGAATGTATGAATACAATGTAATAATTTGCTAAAGTTCTTTACTCAAATGGTTCTTTCTGGAAAATAACTGAAAATGTGAACTTCTTTTGGTTCTAAATACATTGTAACACTTTTACAGAATTTCTAACTTTTGAATTTGGACAGTTTATTATCAGTTTTAAATGTTTCAAACATAAAATATTAAAATAAAGTAGCAAATAGTAGCATAAAAAGTATATTACTGTTGATGTACCACTCTACAGCTTATTCTTATTTCACTTTTTAAACTAGTCTGAAGACAAACATCTTTTAAGACAAGCATAAAAACAAAAGGCCCCTATACCTGTATATCTAAAAAACAAAAGGCCCCTATACCTGTATATCTAAAAAAACAAAAGGCCACTATACCTGTATATCTAAAAAGTCATCTTTACTCCTACTCATCCTCTTGTACTTTACTTTTGTTTCACCAGGCATGTTTCTCTTCATTTTTGATTCTATTGCTTTGATTGAATACTGATCATGAACTGTCCACTCATCAACAGGAATCTATAATAAAAGTTACACAATTTGATTAGTTAAAAATCATTTAATGATATAAACTTTACCTATAGTTATTATTGACTGAAAGGCTATTGATCCTGAATTAAATTCTCTAAACTTTTTGTTTTTCTTTATGTAATAAGAGAGCCATTGATAAGAAATATGGTAAATGTTCCAGATCCTGTCATTAAAGGCAACACTGACAAACTTAACACATAAAATATTGCTGTAATTAATTGTGTTGCTCCAGTAATACCCTAACTATCAAAGGCTGAAAGCAATTAAGATTATTATAATATGTAAAATCAAAATGATGGATTTTAAAATCTATTATTCTCTCAGGCACTTGAAAGTTAAAAAAATGTAAACTATTGCTAACTCAGGAACAAGTTTATATGGGCAGTGCCTTCCAGCATGAAATCAAAATTATTATAACATTTATAATAATATTTATGAAATAATGTCCATGCTCATGACACAACAGTTTCTAAACTGAGTGCCCTATATTCCCAGTGCCCCATCTCCACTCCCAGTCTGATTATATATTTTGTACTTTTCAGTCTGTGCTATGATTTGAAAAAGTGATTTGCATTGTTAATGGTCACATTTCATCTACATATACATAATATTGCTTCAAAATCATCTAGGATTACACTAAGCAGGTATACATTGAAATGAGAGATGGCTATGAGATATAAGGGAATCCAGGAACCAGTCCCTAGCTCTTATTGTATAGATCCCTTAATTGGTTCTTTTACATGCCCAGTGAATAGCACTGATACATGTGAGGATTACCTGGATTTCTTACCAGTACACCTCTAGGTAGGTGGGAAACACTGAAAGTGTCTCTGAAAAATCCAAAAGGATGTTACCCAGGATCAAACCAGGGACCTCAGGAGTGGCAGCCAGTGGTTTAACCAACTAAGCTATCACGCCATCTTATTTTGCACCACATTTATACAAGTACCATGTTATAATTAACTTCCATTTATAACTCATTAACTGTGCTTTATAAAAAGTTTATAATATTTGAAATAACTTGTTTTGAAAAGAAACCTGCCTCATTTGAAATTTCATTGTTTTATTACCAATCAAGCATGCTACTCGCATATAATAGCTGATCAAGGAACATCAAAAACAAATCTTCAAAAAATATCTTCGCATCACATGGTAAAGATAAATATTAATACTAAAAATATTGATAAATTGTAAATATTTGTCATCTGACATTGATATCATTGATCTATATGCTTAATCCTTCAGACAGAATCAATGAAAGCTCTAACTTTACCTCTATATTATAGATCAATGCATATACATAATGATTGATACATGTACATCACTACATGTACATATTAAACAAACATAATTTTAAGAAACTAATTAAGGGCTATCACCTGATTGAATTTTAATATATACATTTTGGTCTATTCCAGGAAATGTCAGAGATACTAAATGAATCATTTTAGTGTGATTTAAACACACATCAATTCCCAAGTCAAAGTCTATTAAAATAAATGAAAGTCAATATAAATTGTGGATAATTTGCTTTATCCGATTACTGGGCCACATTTAATCTAGTAATAAAAACACAAATACACTTCAAATGAACTCCTAATGATGATTTTCAGTATCGTATAACTAATTTTGTTTTAAATACAACCAAACACGGCCAATTTACCTGTGAGTCATTAACAAAGCCAGATAAATTTTAACAAATTCTACCCAACGTGAGAATCCGGAAGTAAACAAATGCGGATTGGTTCTGTTCTTATCGTGTGACGTTGCAAACAAAATGTCAAATTTTCAATATTTTGGAGGATTGGAAGGGTAAATCAGTTATATATTTTATCATGCAATGTGGAAACTTATTCAAAGAACCACTAAGTACAGTTTAAAACGCATGACAATGCAAAGTTTAAAATATATTATAGTACATATTGAAATGTAATATAATTTCGCGACCACAAGTTCAGATTTATGCAGTGGCAAGACCTCTGTAATGCTTGAACGGCTGGAAAAATATATGTACGGCTCATTTTCTTGCTATCCCAGCACTGTTATGAGAATTGAGCTACAAATTACATATGACTAGTACATTCATGTTATGGGAAAAGTTAATGTTAAGGAAGTGGCTAGCCGTACGGGTCCGTACGGCTAGCCAAAAGTTCTAGCCGTACGTGAGTCACGTACGACTAGCCAGGACACACTGTATTGGCTAGCCGTACGGCACTTCTCAAAATTATATGGTAGTCGAAAATGCATATGTTTTTTATGACTTTAAGCCAGGATTTGTACAAGACACAGCAATTGTCTTCGTATGTTTACTTTTAAAAAGATTAATCGCCTTGTCGGCTAGAGTAAAGAAAGTATACGAATACAGTATATATTTTTGTCATCTCAATACGTCGAGAAAAATAGCGTTTGGTTGCAGTTAAATAACATCAATTGAAATAGTTAATAAAACGTTGATATTTTTTTTGTTTCATTTAGTTTAATATTTTCAAATAATAATAAAAAAAACGCCGAAGATAATTGCGTCAATTACCGACGGTATAGAAATTTGTCCATTATTAAAGAAAGTTTGCCTTAATTAAGGCTTTTAATTGATTGTGCTTTGATGTTCGATATTTAAAATTATCTATACTGTATTTGAAAATTATTAAATTATTTTTGCTTTTCACCGTTTTTTTTCAGTATTCTTTTTATTTACTTATTTATTTATTTATTTAATTATTAATTCCCCTCCGATCATTATTTATTCGATCCATGTGCTTAATTATCAAAAATGATTTAACAATTCATCTTTCATACAAATAAAACAACAAATCATAAGCATGAAAATCAAGGACGTTATAACTTAAAACATACAACTTAGACACTTTTATCAAAATACATTATTACAACGCTTGTTCGTATTCATTTTTTTTACAAAATGGCGGAGCATCTTTATTAAAGTGAACACACTAGGACAAATGCGGAGACTTGATTAAAATCCTCGTTTAAAGACACAAAATAACATATACATTTTCGACTTCCATATAATTTTGAAAAGTGCCGTACGGCTAGCCAATACAGTGTGTCCTGGCTAGTCGTACGTGACTCACGTACGGCTAGAACTTTTGGCTAGCCGTACGGGCCCGTACGGCTAGCCACTTCCTAATGTTAAGGGGCGTAACTGAGTGATTTTTGAATGTACTCCCTAGCTAGGGTGGTTCTAGGGATTTTTTGAGAGAGGAAGTGATATCCTGGCATTTCGTAAATATTGACTGGTGATGATTTAACCCCCTTTAACATGGCAAAGCACATGCACCTTTAAATGTTAGTAAAATTATATTGTTCTTTTATTAAAAAATTTTGTTTTAATATGTGAAACCGTCAAACTGTAGTTATAGCAACAAAGCTCAAGTGTTCAGTAAACTTTAAACTTTCAAAACAAACGTTAGATTTTTTTTGTTAAATCTTTCTATGATGTCAGTCCACCTCATAAGCTACATCTCGCATTTAGACAACAGTGGGTTTGTCAACATCTAAGCTTGTGTTAAAAGTTACATGTAGGTAAAATGCCTCAATTCTCTCTGTAGAAAGACTATCATCCTGTACCTGCATAAATTAGCTACTCTTTAAATCATGTATTAAGAATAATTGTTTAGTAAAAATGGTGACAAAGTTTTGTTTTGACCTTCCCTCATGATGGTTTAAATATCTATCTACATTACAGCACAGCAAAGTAATTCTCTGCAGCAATCAATATAACATTGGAACTTTGTATGTCTTTCAATGATCTGGAAAAAAATTACATCATTCTGTTACATACAAATGTATTCAAAATAATATAGATATACTTTGAGCAAATTTATGTAATCTGACTGCACTGAATCATAAATATGTAGCTCTATTTTAGTTATTCTATACTGTTTCTTTTTTCCGACATAAGAGCTGAATATAATTACATATTTAATAATACTTGATTAACTCTATTCATTCATACCTGTTTTGTATATTGATATTTTAGTGGTGCTACTCATTCAAAGTTTGTGTTGTTACGGTCAGATGGACAGGTTATAGCAAAAAGTGAAGGCGAGGGGACCAACCAATGGGTAAACCTTTTATACACTGTTGTAAATGCTTGAATTAATTGTATTTTATTTATAGTTATCATTGAATGAATTCAATAGTAAATTCAAATTCTAATGAGCTGTGTATATTTACTGCAAAATAATTATTTTTCATTTGGCACTATTTTTCTTGGGTTTCACAGATAAAAGGCCCATCCATGAATTTAAGATGCAACAAAATTTCATTTCGTCTGCATTCAGATTATTTTGCATCATATTATATAAATTTTACAAAAGGTAGGATGTCCACCAATTTAAGAACACATTGGTGAAAAACGCGAAATTCCATGCCCACGAATTTAAGTGAATTCACAGAATTTTTTAAGTTGGAGAAAATTTGATAATAATTTCATAATTTAGATTATGAAAATAATCCTTACTGGAGTTGTTTAGCTTTCAGTATGGACAAATCTATTTATAATTTAAAGGGAGAATTTCAAACTATGTATAGACTGAATAGCAAATAGTGCAGATTATGATAAGTCAGCACTGGCTGCATGGGTAGAATCAGTTGCTGCTAGTAGGCTAAGAGTTATGCAACTGTCATTTTAACTAATTTTATCACATAAACCGTGGCACAGGAGTGTTATAATGCCATTTGATAAAAACGATATTACACTAGTGTAATAACACTTTGACATGACGTCATTTGCGATTTATATAAACATAGCGTTAAAGCGCACTAATGTTAGCGTTACACTATAGGCACGTTTTTATTTTGGATATGTGATAAATAGAATTTTATATTTGTGTAGATTCAATACTAAATTTATTCAACTTGTTGAATATTCAACAATATTATTTTATTCAACTCGTTCAATAAATGTAGTATTAAACCTACACTCATTCAATATACTCTATTTCCACAGAAGATTTTTAACATTGTACCCTTTTGATATTAACAATGTTCCACTCTACGTTCTATATTAATGATGCAATTATGCAAAATTAATATATCTCAAGTATGAAGTACCTGTTATTATTAATGTTAGCCCTGAAATTGTTTTCTTGTACTTTTTGGATGTTCTCTGTTCATGTGTTCAAACATGTCCGTCTATTACAGCTTATAGGGCTGGATGAATGCTGTAAACGTATACATGGTATGTTAGTGACAGCTAAACAAACAGCTAAACTGGATGCTGGGACCAAGCTGAAGGGAGTGGTATGATATACATCTTTTAATAGTTTAAAGCTGCATGCCTCCAAATAAGCCAAAATATTGCAGGAAAATCTACCTAGAGAAAAATGTACAAAGACTTTAAAAAAGTAAAAATATTCAGAGTTCAAGAAATAATATACATGTTATATGTCATATATGTGTAAATTACTTTGTTTGTTCATATGATAACATTTTACTTTTTTTAAACATTTTACATTTTTGTGAAAATTAGCATGAATCTGGAGACATGCTGCTTTAAAACAGTGCTTAACAAGAACATGGTATATTTATAAATGTGATGCCAGAAGTTTTCACTGTATTTTGATCTGTTTTAAGATTTTTAGAGATTTTCTTACTTCTAATTTGACAAAGACATGAAAAAAGGCTGAACTCGTGCATTAAAGGGCCATAGCTATAGAATGAAGATAAAAAGCCTTGCAACTAATAAAGGTACATGTGGCACATCTCATGTATGTATTTGTTCCATTTATTGGTTACTTGATTTGATTTGAATTAATATGATTGATGCATTTTGATTTCCTTCCAACAGTCTTTTTAAAGTAACCCATGTTTGAAATCTCACTTAATACATTTCCATTAATGGTGGTGTAGTTAAGTTATGAAAACATATCTCAGGAATTTGTCAATGTGTAAGAAAGTAAGTATTGGTAAAGTTTTTTCTGACTCAATTCCTATTACGTGTGGGGTCCCTCAGGGCAGTATTTTGGGTCCTCTTCTATTTCTCTGCTACGTTAATGACATGGTAACAAGTATCGGTTCTGATTGCAAGTTAATTTTATATGCAGATGATAGCACAATATTATTTTTCGCATAAGGATCCAAAATTATAGCCAAAAACTTGGAAAGGTATTGGAACGATGCTCAGATTGGTTAGTTGACAATAAAATTATCTCTACACCTGGGCAAGACTGAATGTATGCTATTTGGTTCTAAATCGAAATTAATAAATTACAAAATTTTTCCATTTCATGTAATGATCAAACAATAAAGTCTTCGTCTGAAGTTAAATATCTTGGTTTGAATATCGATTGTTATCTATCAGGAGATAAAATTGTCAAGAGCATTCTTTCAAAGGTGAATGGAAGATTACATTTTTCTATACCGTTACAAAAATTGTTTATCGGAAGAAATAAAGAAACAGTTATGTCCTGCCTTTTGCTGTGTCACTTTTGATTATTCTTCATCTTCTTGGTACGAAGGACTGAGTAAGTCACTGAAGCACAAACTTCAAGTAGCTCAAAAATAAGGTTGTGCGCTTTATAAAAGACTACACTCCTAGGACTTCAGTGACAAATAAGGTTCTGTCCGATCTTAAATTATTAAATGTCAATGATAGAGTTAGACAGTTAAGACTCAACCACATTCATAAAGTTTATTACAACAAAAGCCCTTCCTATTTAAAGGAATTGTTTAAGGTTTGTAGAATATCCAATTTAAGATCCAGTAATTTTAATTTTGTTTTACCTCAAAATGATTCTTATGTAAAAAATACATTTTTCTACAATGCCATTAAAGACTGGAATTCTTTACCAGACAACATTAGATCAATTGACAATATCCAAACATTTAAAACGAAAGTAAAACTTTTTTTAAGTAATGAAAATGATAAACAAGTGAATAATATGTTTATTTATTATTAAATTGATGTGTAACTTATGATAAGGTTTTGAAACATGTTTATGTGTACTTGATATGTTTTAGTTTAAAAGAAACTTTTTTCATTTTGTTTGTGTACAATGTACTTGTCTTATTATATTGAAAAATGTGTTTTGATTATTGAAAATTGTCATTAAGTTTAACTTCTTTATAATTCATTTATCATTATGTAAGTTAGTGTAATAATTTTACAGAAAATGGACCCCATTGGAAATAAGCTTTTAGCTTAATGGGCAATCCTAGGGTTACATAGAACATACTTATTGATTAATCGTATAATTATTTTTGTGCATTTATGTGTGTGTTTTTATTTATATTCAAGTTGATATCTGTGATAAAATTGTATGTGTATATATGTATGTCTATTCCCTGAATAAATCGATACGATGTGTGGTGCTGCCAAGCTATGTGAAAATATCTCAGGGTTCATCAATGTTAGAAAGTTACATGAACATATTTCAGTGATTATCAATGAGTAAAATTTTTGTTTTATCAACATATTTCAGGGGTTATCAATGATAGCATTTATGTTGTAAGAACATGTTTCAAGGTTTACCAATAAATGGCATTTATATTGTATGTGGTATTGGTATGAACATATTTTAGGTATTAGCAATGAGTGGCTTTTATGTTGTATGAACATATTTTAGGGATTATCAATGAGTAGTTTTTGTGTTGTATGAACATATCTAAGGATTTATCAATGAGTGGTATTTATGTTGAATGACCTTATTAGCTCACCAGAGCCAAAGGCTCAGGGTGAGCTATTAGTATCAAAGGGGGATGCTCTGGCGTCCGTCGTCATGCGTCAACAATCGTCTTCTTCTCTGAAACTACTGGGCAGATTTACTTCAAATTTGGTCTGTAGCATCCTTGTGACAGTCACACTTGAATTTGCTCATGTCATTCCAATTGGTCCCTTTTAGGGGTCAGCAGAGCTAAAAATAGAAAAACCTTTAAACATCTTCTTCTACAGAACTAATTGATGGATGATCACCAAACTTTGTCTGTAGCACTCTTGGGTAGTCTTTTATCAAGTTTGCTCATATGAATGTGATTGGCCCCTTTTAGGGGCCGCTAAAGCTAAAAATAGAAAAACCTTTAATCGTCTATTTCTACAGAACTAATTGATGGATGATCACCAAACTTTGTCTGTAGCATTCTTAGGTACTCTTTTATCAAGTTTGCTCATATTAATTTGATTGGCCCCTTTTAGGGGTGTCTAGGGCTAAAAATAAAAATACCGTTAAATGTCAATTTCTAGAGAACTAATTGATGGATGATCACCAAACTTTGTCTGTAGCATTGTTGGGTAGTCTTTTATCAAGTTTGCTCATATTAATTTGATTGGCCCCTTTTAGGGATCTCTAGGGCTAAAAATAGAAAAACCTTTAAACATCTTCTCCTACAGCACTAATGGATGGATGATCACCAAATTTTGTTGACAGCATTCTCGGGAAGTCTTTTATCAAGTTTGCTCATATTAATTTGATTGGCCCCTTTTAGGGGCTACTAAAGCTAAAAATAGAAATACCGTAAAATGTCTATTTCTAGAGAACTAATTGATGGATGACCACCAAACTTTGTCTGTAGCATTCTTGGGTAGTCTTTTATCAAGTTTGCTAATATTATTTTGATTGGCCCCTTTTAGGGGCCGCAAAAGCTAAAAATAGAAATGCCTTTAAATGTCTATTTCTACAGAACTAATTGATGGATGATCACCAAACTTTGTCTGTAGCATTCTTGGGTAGTCTTTTATCAAGTTTGCTCACATTAATTTGATTGGCCCCTTTTAGGGGCAGCTAAAGCTAAAAATAGAAAAAACCTTTAAACATCTCATACTTCAGAACCAATTGATGGATGATCACCAATCTTTGTCTGTAGCATTCTTAGGTACTCTTTTATCAAGTTTGCTTATATTAATTTGATTAGCCCCTTTTAGGGGCCACTAAAGCTAAAAATAGAAAATACCTTTGAACATCATTTCCTACTGAAATAATTGATAGATGTTCCCAAACTTTGTAGCATTTTTGGGTAGTCTTTTATCAAGTTTGCTCATATTAATTTGATTAGCCCTGTTTAAGCTAAAGCTTAAATGCCCCAGGTCATGGCATTTCTTCAAAATATTGTTCCAGGAATTATCAATGAGTGGTATTTGTGGTGTATGAACATATTTCAGGGTTTATCAATGAGTGCTTTTTATGTTGTATGAACATATTTCAGGGTTTATCAATGAGTGCTTTTTATGTTGTATGTACATATTTCAGGGTTTATCAATGAGTGGTATTTATGTTGTATGTACATATTTCAGGGTTTATCAATGAGTGGTGCTGATGAGAAGGAATCCCAGGAACAACTTATCAAGCATATCAAAGAGCAGTATAAGGATGATTATGAAGAAGTATTTGTAGCCAGTGATACATGGGGGGCACTCTTTACAGCAACACCAGATGGTAATATTGTCACTAGCATTTTAATGCTGATAATTCTTATTATTCTATACTGAAATATGAGTTATTTTGTAAACATTGCTTATCACGTAGGGTGGGACCCTTATGTATTGTGGTAATTATAACTTTCATTAATTTATAGCAATGAAAGTTCCTTACTGTCACTGGCATTTTACTTGTATACACTGTTGCATCTTTAATTACAAGTAAATGTATCCAACAAAGTTTATATCAGTGATCAAACATAATTATAGCATTTACAACAATCTGCCATATTGGTCATGGTGACACTATGTATGAAAATTATAAGCATATGTTCAGATTACAGTCAAGACTGTCATATGTGACTTTCCAAGGGATCTTCAGAAAAAAGGTCACATATGACAGGGAGTCTCTAAATACAGTCTCAAAGAAAATTAAATTTAAATACCATCTATCTGTCTATATACCATTGTGACTTAACACACATATATCTGTGTGAAGGAATAATATCTAACCAATTGCAAATAAACCTAAGTCTTCTTAAAATGTTTGATGTAAATAAAATAAGAATCCATGTAAAACAAATATATTTGCATGTATATCATATAAAATTTAATTTTATTTTTGTATTAAGATTTAAATTGAATCTTTATGGTATAAAATAAACAGGAATTTGATGCATTTAAATCATTGAAATAAATATCGTACTTGTAAAAGTTAAACATATCCATATCCAAAGCTTTTTCTGGTTTGGTATCAATATTTTTTCCGTATTAATTATGCAGCCGTTATGAAAAAGGTAAATTTAAAAAATGCTGCCTTAAAAAAAAAAATCTTCCGTTGGCACTCTATAATTTAAAAAAAAAAATCTGAAACAAGTCTTAATCCAGTTTACTCAGGTCATTATGTACATTACACACACATCGATTCCATCATGCTTACCATATTTGGCAGTAGGGAACAGACGCTCAACCACTCTAAACCTGTATACATGTTAACTGTGTAATTGAGGCATAGGTGTGTAGAGTTTGTTTGCTACTGGATTATAATTGGACTTAATTATTTTGGCCCTCTGGGTGTTAAAATAGGTATTATTTATCTGATTAACGGACAATTAAAAGGTGTGAAAGTGGTTTAAATCAGACAAAACATTGCATTGGGACCAGACAATTAGGGTCGCTTGTCACATATGACAAGGAGTCGTTTAATTCAGACCATATATATAGGAAAAGAATCCCGGACAATCCCCCTCCTGGACGATTCCCCTTCCATATTATTTTCACAACCCGGACATTTCCCCTCTCGTTATTTTAATAGGGTGGACTTTTCCCCTCTCGTTAATTTATAGGACGGACAATTCCCCTCCGGTTATTTTAGCAGAGCGGACAATTCCCCTCCCGTTTTTTCACAGAGCGGAACGTGACATTATACGGCCCTTAATCATAGCCGCCACTGCGTATAAAAAATCTATAACCATTCTTATTAAAGATGACAGTTTTACTCTTAACAACAAAGTGTTAAAGATCAGACCTTTTAAGAATCATTATTTCACAAAGGTGACATTATACCGCCTTTAATCATTGCCGCCGCTGCTTAAGATAAACAAACTGTCAATAAAAAATCTTTAATCAATGCTGCCCTTAATTAAATGTGTCCTTGATTGCAAAACCAATTATTTACAATTATTTTACCGCTGCAGAAATGTATTGACGAAATAAAGATTATTTTAACAAAAAAAAAATGCGTTTTGTTTATATTCATGTCAATATAGACAAGCAAAATGTATTTAAAGTCGATTAAAAATACCTTTCAAATAAACAATATTATATAATATATATGTTAAACAGCCACGGGAGGGAAATTATGTCCGCTCTGACAACAGCGGAAGGGGAATTGTCTGGTCTGCTAAAATAACGGGAGGGGAATTGTCCGCCGTAAAAAAATAATGGGAGGGGAAATGTCCGCCGTAAAAAAATAACGGGAGGGGAAATGTCTGGGTTGTGAAAAAACATTCAAATTTACTGGGAGGGGAATCGTCCGGGAGGGGAATTGTCCGGATACCATAGGAAAATATGTTGGGAGTACTGAAACAAGGTCGGATAAAACAGGGAGTCATTGAAATCAGGGGGTCGCTATGGCAGTCTCGACTGTACTGCCATACTATAATAGTAGAATAAGAAGGGTTTGTTAAAATTTTATGGAGCTTTTTTATGTATGTCTCATTTTTAAAGATTGAATCTGAAATATATGAAATGATGGATTTATAGGGCAAATTAATGTTAATAAGTGTAATTTATTGAAATTTATTATGTTATCTTAGTTATACCTATTCTTTTGTACTTTTTACGCTAGGGGGTATTGTGTTGATTGCTGGGACAGGGTCCAACTGTCAGCTGATCAATCCAGATAACACAACTCGACGTTGTGGTGGTTGGGGTCACCTGATCGGGGATGAGGGATCAGCATACTGGATCGCTCAGCTTGCACTCAAACGCCTGTTTGACCATGATGATAATTTGATAGTTTCCAAGTCTAGTGTGGAATGTGTTAGGAAAATTATGCATCAGTATTTCAAGGTATTACAGTATAGTTTTAGTTTTGGTTTTTGTGTAACATAGGGGCCAACTAAAGCATGCTTTAGTATATATAAATAGGGTTTCTCAATTAAGGAACATGCTATCATTTGGCTACATTCAAATGTGTTTATATACAAAGAAGTTTGCTATTCTATCAATGAATGTTAAATATGGCAATATGTAAGTCCCCAATGTTATTTAAAAAAATGCCTCTGGTTATATAATTTACTATTTCTTTTAGCTCACCTGAGCACAAATTGCTCAGAGGTGAGCTTTTGTGATGGTATGTTGCCAGTCATTATCCACAATTTCTTTAAACAACATCTCCAATGAACCCACATGGTGGATTTTGACCAAACTTCACAGAAATGATCTTTCATCAATTATTTATAGAATTTCAAACTCCTGTGGTTCTCGGCTTGAAGTTTTATTCAAGCAGCTCTATAAAGTTTTTGGACTGAAAAGTTGTATTGGAAGCTATTAAATATGTAACTCATCCAATTTAGCGGAACCCCAGAAGATAAGCAATACATGTATTAGCTAACTCACTTTACACCCCCACTTTTTAGCTCACCTGTCACAAAGTGACAAGGTGAGCTTTTGTGATCGCTTTTCCTCCGGCGTTCGTCCGTCCATCCGTCCTCCGTCCGTCGTCCGTAAACTTTTACCATAAACCACTGAGCCAATTTCATCCAAACTTCATAGGAATGTTTCTTTGGTGGTCACCTTTGAAAATTGTTCAAAGAATTTAATTCCATGCAGAACTCTGGTTGCCATGGCAACCAAAAGAGAAAACTTTAAATATCTTCTTCTAAAAAACCCAAAGAGCTAGAGCTTAGATATTTGACATGAAACATCTTCTAGTGAGTGTCTACCAAGTTTGTTCAAATAAAAGCCCTGGGGTCAAAACTGGCCCCGCCCCAGGGGGTAATTGATTTTCCCTATATGCATAAAGTAAAAACTTAAAAAACTTCTTTTAAAGAACCCAAAGAGCTAGAGCTAGAGCTAAGATATTTAGCATGAAACATCCTCTAATGGGTATCTACCAAGTTTGTTCAAATAAAAGCCCTGGGGTCAAAACTGGCCCCGCCCCAGGGGGTCATTGATTTTCCCTATATGCATATATAAAAACTTAAAAAATCTTCTTTTAAAGAACCCAAAGAGCTAGATTTAAGATATTTAGCATGAAACATCCTCTAATGGATGTCTACCAAGTTTGTTCAAATAAGAGCCCTGGGGTCAAAATTGGCCCCGCCCCGGGGGTCATTGATTTTATTTATATGTGTATAACAAAAACTTAAGAAATCTTCTTTGAAAAAAACCAAATAGCTAGAGTTTAGATACTAAGCAGGAAACATCTTCTAGTGGGTGTCTACAAAGTTTGTTCAAATAAAAGCCCTGGGGTCAAAATTGGCCCCGCCCAGGGGGTCATTCATTTTCCTTATATGTGTATAGCAAAAACTTAAAAAATCTTCTTTGAAAAAACTCAAATAGCTAGAGTTGAGATATTGAGCATGAAACATCTTCTAGTGAGTGTCTACAAAGTTTTTTCAAATAAAAGCCCTGGGGTCAAAATTGGCCCCGCCCCGGGGGACATTGATTTTCTTTATATGTGTATAGCAAAAACTTAAAAATCTTCTTTGAAAAAACCTAAATAGCTAGAGTTTAGATATTATGCATGAAACATCTTCTAGTGAGTGTCTACAAAGATTGTTCAAATAAAAGCCCTGGGGTCAAAACTGGCCCCTGTTTTTGACTATATGTGTATAGTAAAAACTTAAAAAATCTTCTTTTAAAAAACCCAATGAGCTAGACCTTAGATGTTTAGCATGAAACATCTTCTAATGGGTGTCTACCAAGTTTGTTCAAATAAAAGCCCTTGGGTTTAAACTGGCCCCGCTCAATGGGCCTATATACAGGTGAGCGACTTCAGGGCCATCATGGCCCTCTTGTTACATATTCATTTTAAATACTACAACAAAATTCAGAAAAATGCTTAGAAACAGAATGAAATGTATAGATACAAAAACGCATGCACATTCATTTAGTTCTGGGGTCTGCTAAACTAGATTCTTTCCCAAAATTTATATATAAAATATATGTTACAGATCACACAGAATAGTGGTATGCTTCAACATTTGTACTCCAGCTTTGAGAAGTCCTACATTGCTGGTATGTGTAAGGAACTTGCTAAAGGTATGTCAGTGTTCTTCACATTGGTTTACAGAAAATGTGCATTTAAATTATAAACACTGACTGTCACTCCTCAGGTTTCAGGTTCGATCCTGGGTAACATCCTTGGGATTTTTCAGAGACACTTTCAGTGTTCCCACCTAATTAGAGGTGTACTGGTAAGAAATCCAGGAAACCCTCAGTATCAGTGCTATACACTGGGCATGTAAAAGAACCAAGGGGTTTATTCAATAAGAGCTAGGGACTGGTTCCCAGATTCCTTTGTATCTTATAGCTTGTCTCTGGAGTCTGCTGAGGTAAGGACCCTACTGGAAATAAGTGTTGCACTTTCGTAGGTAATCCTTGACTGCCCAGTCTAAAGAAATTCAATGTTAGTTATTCTTGATTTATCAAAGATCTGATAGTTTCAAGCTGATAGTTTCAAGTTAGGACCCTATCTAGGCTAATCCAGCTAGCTAACAGCTCAGAAGATCTAAACATATGCTCTTTTTTGTCTGGATCATTATTTTAATTTAAAGATCACCTAAGGTTAAAGGGTTGAGGCATCAGAATTGCAGCCACCATTTAGCCCTGCTGATCATAAAAGGCAACTAAATGGGTTTGAATTATTGGAGTCTATGTATCTCTTCTCTCCAACAGGTGAGGTGGTTTTGACCTCTGGTGTTGCTTTAAGTTTATAACACCTAAGGTTAGCCAAAATCATCTTTCCTCCTCCTGCGTCATATAACGTAAATTGTGTTGGTGCACCATAAAAAAAAAAAAAAAAAAAAAAAGATACTGAACTTGGAAGTTTTTGTTTTCAAGTTTAAAGTAGAACAGAACTGTGTCAGTATGTTAAAGATTAAAGTTTGTGTCTATGTCATTTAAGGGGCCGAGGAAGGGGATGCCATGTGTAAAGAGGTATTTGCTGAAGCAGGGAAAGTACTTGCTAAACATATCATAGCTGTAGAACCTAGTATAAATGAGGTAAGATAAGATAAGATTCATTAACATGTTTCCTCATATGACACCTGGGTTTAAAATTATAAAGAACTTTGATTGGTTAGAAATTAATAAAGAATATATACACTGACATATGAAAATCCTGAGATTCGAAACCAATACGGGGTAGGAAGCAGACTAGAAGGTGATTTATGACTTTATGTTTTATGAACTTTCCCTCTGTACTTCCATTAAATTAATGACTATATTTGTCTACTCTTCATGATAATAATTATGGATTCTATAACTATTATTGTTGAAGACTAAATGCTGTTTATCCTAGTATGTGTATATAATTATTCAACATTATTGTTTTAACTTAGACACGTTTATGATAGGTCTTAAATCACACAAGACATAAATTTATGACATAATCAATAGGTAATTCCTGGATTACCTATTAACTGTCTGGTGGGAAAATTTTTATGTATGTTTGTTATGTCCATTAGTTGAGATTTTGTATCCTTATTTAGAAGAAACCACAGCTGCTTGAAATTATACGAAAACAATAAATGAAATTAAAAATAGATTAATACAAAAGAAAAGAACTTCATTAATTACTCAACAGGGGCTTTCTGATCATGGAAACAATTATATATTGTAAAGTCAACTTTCGCAGATGAAAAGATAAATATAGAATATTTTCTTGATGAATCTAGTCAAGGAAACATTTTATTTTTGTTTCATTGTGTTTTTATTTTGACATATTTAAAAAGAAAAAAAAAACGAATTTAGAATCTTCAAATAGGTATATAAATATTTCCTGATAGTTATATCTTTTCTAATATTTTTCTTTCTTTATTCTTTTGGAAAATACACACAAAATCAAAAATTGTAACACTCGCTACAGTTTATTAAGGGGGATAATCTAATCCGTAAGATATCTAAATCACTACAATTGTTGCACATGATGGAATCATCAATCTAAATGCTCAGGACTGGAGTGATAAAATCAATATTTTCTTTCTGATTCACTATTTAAGTTCTATCAATAAAAGGTTATGGTATACATGTAAGTATTAATTGTTTAACAAGTACTTCTAGCTTTATGACAATGGCTCAAAATTTTTATGGTATAATCTATCAAGATCATTTCTTGGCAGTTTATGAATTTTACAATATACAATGTTATAATTGTAGAGTCTGTTGAAAGGTAAAGGTGGACTTCATGTGGTTACAGTGGGATCTGTCTGGAAAAGTTGGACATTCTTGAAACCAGGTCAGTATTATTTTGGTTTGGTTTTAAAGCTGCATGCCTCAAGATTAGCCAAACTATTTCAAGAGAATCCAACTTGAGAAAAATATACTAAGATTTTTAGGTTTTGTCATGGTGCAGCTCAAATGTATCTTCAGGCCTTTTTTTCTCAGATATTTAACCCATTACTTCATATACACGCCTTTTAACGCCTTTTTCACCCCCCCCCCTTTTTGTTGTCTCAAATGGTGGAAAAATGCATTATTTTGGCCCTTAACACTTGTTTTTGTTTGAGAAATGTTGTTAAAAAAAGTGACCACTTTTTCGGCGCGGCCCCCCAACCAAAAGATACATCAGGGGGTTGCCAGAAGGGGGATGTGCCCCCTTTGGGGGGTTTGAAGGGGGGCGGAGTCCCCCTCATCGCCAAGAAAATTTTGGACTTGTGAGAGGCTATAAATGACCCCAGATGGATCATAAGGTAACGTCTAACCAACGCTGAAATGCATTTGACTCTATCTCAATCCATTGAGAAGTTGCAGCACTTTGAAATCAATTATGATGGAAAAAATCAACGCAAAATAGTGATTTTTGGCAATTTTGAGATGTCCCTCGTTGCCATGGTAACAGGAAATTTAAGCCTGAGCATGTTGTTGCAAGGGCAATGGTCCAGTCAACATTTGTGCCAAGTTTTGATTTGTGTTTGAAGCAGTTTTTTTTATAGTATTATAGCAATTTGAACTTGTAACGGGAGACTTTTCAATGAAAACAGCCATTTTTCACAAAATGCTCATGAAGTAATGGGTTAATGAAAAAAAATAAAAAAATCTACAAAACAACAATTTTTCTTCAAATTTATATGACAGGCCATGTTTAAACATGGAAAAACGCAATATAGAGTAATTTCAAGTATTTTCATCATTTTCTGTTAACCCATTACTTCATATACACGCCTTTTAACGCCTTTTTCACCCCCCCCCCCTTTTTGTTGTCTCAAATGGTGAAAAAATGCATTATTTTGGCCCTTAACACTTGTTTTTGTTTGAGAAATGTTGTTAAAAAAAGTGACCACTTTTTCGGCGCGGCCCCCCAACCAAAAGATACATCAGGGGGTTGCCAGAAGGGGGATGTGCCCCCTTCTGTTTGGGGGGTTTGAAGGGGGGCGGAGTCCCCCTCATCGCCAAGAAAATTTTGGACTTGTGAGAGGCTATAAATGACCCCAGATTGATCATACGGTAACGTCTAACCAACGCTGAAATGCATTTGACTCTATCTCAATCCATTGAGAAGTTGCAGCACTTTGAAATCAATTATGATGGAAAAAATCAACGCAAAATAGTGATTTTTGGCAATTTTGAGATGTCCCCTCGTTGCCATGGTAACAGGAAATTTAAGCCTGAGCATGTTGTTGCAAGGGCAATGGTCCAGTCAACATTTGTGCCAAGTTTGATTTGTGTTGAAGCAGTTTTTATAGTATTATAGCAATTTGAACTTGTAACGGGAGACTTTTCAATGAAAACAGCCATTTTTCACAAAATGCTCATGAAGTAATGGGTTAAGTATTGTTTTCTTTATATGCATAGATTTAAGTCACAGTTCATTCCTTTTTCAGGTTTCACTGAAGTAATGAAAGCAGATCGCCAAAATAAAAGAATCAGTGAGTTGACACTGGTATCATTGAATCAGCCGGCAAGTGTCGGGGCCGCCAGTCTCGGGGCTCGAGCTGCGAAGACAACTCTTCCAATGAACTACGATGCCAATGCTGAAGTTTTTTTCCATGAGAAGTTTTGATAAATATACTACTTAGCCTATTGATATAATTATACCATCATGACATCATACTTTTGGCAACTGAGATGACATCATGCTTTGTTGAACAAAGAGAGTGCTTTATGCAAAGTATTGAACTCTTATTTAGAATAAAAATCCAAAACATTAAAAGATATTATTGTGCCATATTACTAGATGCTAACTTTTTAAGGGACTCCCCTGAGGATTTTAAACATGACAGGAGTGGATTTTTTCTTTCTCTCAAATATGTACAATTTGAATTAGGTCTTCACCAATAACTTATGTGCAAAATCTTAGATCAGTAACTTACTTCTTTTTTCCAAAATAATTATTATATTGTGAAAAATGACCCAAAAGTGAATAGTGTTTTGAACACTTTTAATTTAAATTGTGTTATAGGTCCCTCTAAAATATGACTTTCGATTGATTATCGATATCTTTCTTATTATATTTTACATTTATTTGTGTTTCAATTACCCCAGTTGATCAAGAAATGCAAGAAATTCAATATTTATGTTTTTAGACTTTTTGGACATCAAAATATAATTTAAGAAAAAAAAAAAAAAAAACAAAAAAAAAAACATAAATAGCATTAGTTATAAGGTTTGGGTTTTATGTAAACAGAGCTAACAGGATGTAGACTGTATTAGAAAGTAAATAAAAATATTTGGAACTAGTCTAGTTATAGGACATATTCATTGGTTAATTTCAAAACTGTGTAGAAAATCAACAATTCAGAAGCTGATATTCTAAACTGTTTTTTAAACTGGTTCCCGCTTTTTGCTTTAGATGAATGGGATAACTCCGCAGTTTCGTTTAAGGGATGTAAATCATAATTGATTTATTTCCACTCTTGAAGGAATTATAATTGTATAAAACTTTCTGATTTTTAGCTCGACTATTCTATAAGAATAAGTAGAGCAATTGCAGTCACCCGAGCGTCGGCGTCGACGTCAGCGTCTGCGTCGGCATAACCACTTATGTTAAAGTTTTTGTAATAGTTCAAATATTTTCAAAGTCCATTGACATATGGCTTTGAAACTTTGCACACTTGTTCACCATCATGACCCCAACCTGTAGACAGGAGGAGGTAACTCTATCAAGCATTTTGACAGAAATATGCCCCTTTTTCGACTTAGAATTTATGTTAAAGTTTTTGTAATAGTTCAAATATTTTCAAAGTCCATTGACATATGGCTTTGAAACTTTGCACACTTGTTCACCATCATGACCCCAACCTGTAGACAGGAGGAAGTAACTCTATCAAACATTTTGACAGAAATTATGCCCCTTTTCGACTTAGAATTTATGTTAAAGTTTTTGTAATAGTTCAAATATTTTCAAAGTCCATTGACATATGGCTTTGAAACTTTGCACACTTGTTCACCATCATGACCCCAACCTGTAGACAGGAGGAGGTAACTCTATCAAGCATTTTGACAGAATTATGCCCCTTTTTCGACTTAGAATTTATGTTAAAGTTTTTGTAATAGTTCAAATATTTTCAAAGTCCATTGACATATGGCTTTGAAACTTTGCACACTTGTTCACCATCATGACCCCAACCTGTAGACAGGAGGAGGTAACTCTATCAAGCATTTTGACAGAAATATGCCCCTTTTTCGACTTAGAATTTATGTTAAAGTTTTTGTTAATAGTTCAAATATTTTCAAAGTCCATTGACATATGGCTTTGAAACTTTGCACACTTGTTCACCATCTTGACCCCAACCTGTAAACAGGAGGAGGTAACTCTATCAAGCATTTTGACAGAATTATGCCCCTTTTTCGACTTAGAATTTACGTTAAAGTTTTTGTAATAGTTCAAATATTTTCAAAGTCCATTGACATATGGCTTTGAAACTTTGCACACTTGTTCACCATCATGACCCCAACCTGTAAACAGGAGGAGGTAACTCTATCAAGCATTTTGACAGAATTATGTCCCTTTTTTGACTTAGAATTTACGTTAAAGTTTTTGTAATAGTTCAAATATTTTCAAAGTCCATTGACATATGGCTTTGAAACTTTGCACACTTGTTCACCATCATGACCCCAACCTGTAGACAGGAGGAGGTAACTCTATCAAGCATTTTGACAGAATTATGTCCCTTTTTCGACTTAGAATTTACGTTAAAGTTTTTGTAATAGTTCAAATATTTTCAAAGTCCATTGACATATGGCTTTGAAACTTTGCACACTTGTTCACCATCATGACCCCAACCTGTAGACAGGAGGAGGTAACTCTATCAAGCATTTTGACAGAATTATGCCCCTTTTTCGACTTAGAATTTATGTTAAAGTTTTTGTAATAGTTCAAATATTTTCAAAGTCCATTGACATATGGCTTTGAAACTTTGCACACTTGTTCACCATCATGACCCCAACCTGTAAACAGGAGGAGGTAACTCTATCAAGCATTTTGACAGAATTATGCCCCTTTTTGACTTAGAATTTACGTTAAAGTTTTTGTAATAGTTCAAATATTTTCAAAGTCCATTGACATATGGCTTTGAAACTTTGCACACTTGTTCACCATCATGACCCCAACCTGTAAACAGGAGGAGGTAACTCTATCAAGCATATTTTTTTTACTATCAAGCACTAAGAATAGTCGAGCGTTGCTGTCCTACCAACAGCTCTTGTTTGAATTTAAGGACCAAGTTTAACAAAATGAATGTTGTATGAGAACATATGAAGAGAATATTTTATTTAAATTATTTTATAATGTGCCACCATTTCACCAGCATTAATCTTTTCTGTTACAGTATAGAAAAATGTATTATGTTATAAATGTTTTTTTCAAACATATTTCTTGATTGAAAAGATTTTAAGAATTAGTCCAAATGTAAAGAAAAAATTAGTAAAATTAGTTAATGTAGTCGTATTCAATGTATAATATATCTGCTGTAACTTGAATGCAACTTGCCTCCACTTTTATGTAACTTTACTTGTTATGAAAATTTAGAAAGGTTTAAAATATTGTTCTGTTGATAATATGACAGGCACTCTCATTTAAAGGGACTCCACTGAGGTTGTATGACATAAAGGGACTGAATTTTATGTTTTATACTTTTGGGCCGTAGTTGTGTCCCTTTAAAATGCCACATAATATGCAAAAAAGGTTACACGGTACAAATACGTTAATGATGATAGTATTTTCAGTCATGTTTTCATGATCATAAACTTTCAAAATGTCACAGGAATAGGAAAGATTTATTCATTTCATAAACTTATCTATATTTTATTTTATATTTGATTGTTTTGCAAATTTGTTTTCTCCAAGATGAGTAACTTTAATAAATGTGAAATGTTTATTAAAGATGTATTGTTACAAAAAGTAAATATTAAAAGGTAATTATTCACTTGATAAATATCAACAATTTATTATTTAGGTGGTAAATATCAACATATTATTATTTAGTTGATAAATATCAAGCTGTAAGAAAGAAATTGTAATGGATGAGTGTAACGACTTTCATCAAAAAACACTGTATACATGTATCATTTATTATTGGACAAGCCTTTACCGACTATATGAGCCGCGCCACAACAAAACCAACATAGTGTGTTTGCGACCAGCATGGATCCAGACCAGCCTGCGCATCCGAGCAGTCTGATCAGGATCCATGCTGTTCGCTTACAAACCCTATAACAAGTAGAGAAACTGATAGCAAACAGCATGGATCCTGATCAGACTGGGTGGATGCGCAGGCTGGTCTGGATCCATGCTGGTAGCAAATACACTATGTTGGTTTTGTCGTAGCGCGGCTCATATAAGCCATCTAATATTGGTACCTAATGGTAAGCCTATTGTTAAACTTAGTGTATCTGAATTATAAAAAAAATTACATTGATAAATTTTCATAACATTGTGTGAAGACCATTTAGATACAAATGGACTGTTAAAATCTTAAACCAATTGACTTACATTTCTTTTATTTACATCATTTTCTGTGGAGAACCTCAGGAATATTATTCATTTATTATACTGGGTTATATTTCATGATTATCACCTTCTGGCCAGACTCTCCTTACTTTTTACCTTAAATTGTAACAAATATTCCTGTGATTAGTATCACTGATAATGTGTTTTGAGTCTGGGGCTGGAGTTGTAATTGTGCTTTAATTGGGCTGGCTGAACCTGGGCTGAAGCCAATTGCACCTTCCATCTTCCAGCCTGATTGTCATACATTAAACTCTAATAGTTACTCATTAATCATTCCACATTTTTTAACCAGGTTTTCCGAAGGAAAAAAAACTGGTTTTTAGATTGAGGTATGTCGGCGGGCGGGTGGGCGGGCGTAAACAATTTCTTCTGTGCGCAACTCCTCCTACATTTCTCAACAGATTTTGACCAAACTTTCACAGAAGCTTTGTCATCAAGTGCCCTGGCGCATATTGTCGGGGTTTTGCGATTAGATAATATTTGACCTAATTATGGCCCTTTGTTTTTTTTCATTATATAGAATATATAATGAACAATTTCTTCTGTGCGCAACTCCTCCTACATTTGTCAACGGATTTTGACCAAACTTTCTCAGAAGCTTTGTCATCAAGTGCCCTGACACATATGGTCAGGGTTTTGCAATTGGTATATATTTGACCTAATTATGGCCCTTTGTTTTTTTTCATTATATAGAATATATAGTGAACAATTTCTTCTGTGCGCAACTCCTCCTACATTTGTCAACGGATTTTGACCAAACTTTCTCAGAAGCTTTGTCATCAAGTGCCCTGACACATATTGTCAGGGTTTTGCAATTGGTATATATTTGACCTAATTATGGCCCTTTGTTTTTTTTCATTATATAGAATATATAGTGAACAATTTCTTCTGTGCGCAACTCCTCCTACATTTCTCAACGGATTTTGACCAAACTTTCACAGAAGCTTTGTCATCAAGTGCCCTGGCGCATATTGTCGGGGTTTTGCGATTAGATAATATTTGACCTAATTATGGCCCTTTGTTTTTTTTCCTTATATAGAATATATAGTGAACAATTTCTACAGTGCGCAACTTCTCCTACATTTCTCAACGGATTTTGACCAAACTTTCACAGAAGCTTTGTCATCAAGTGCCCTGGCGCATATTGTCAGGGTTTTGTGATTGGATAATATTTGACCTTATTATGGCCCTTTGTTTTTTTTCCTTATACAGAATTGAACAAATTCTTCTGTGCTGAACTCTTCCTACATTTCTCAATGGATTTTGTTCAAACTTTCACAGAAGCTTTGTCATCAAGTGCCCTAGCACATATTGTCGGGGTTTTGTGATTGGATAATTTTTTACCTAATTATGGCCTTTTGTTTTTTTTCCTTATACAGAATATATATAGTGAACACTTCTTCTGTGCGCAATTCCTCCTACATTATTCATGTTTTACATTGCACATAGTGACATTGTTTGTTGCTTGTATTTGTATTTCAAATACAACATATTTATCTACAATGGTGATAATTGAAAACCTGGTTTCATGGCATTGCCATGTTTCTTGTTTTCAACTTATATATTAATGTGCAATATGAACATGTTTATATGTATTTTTTTAATGCAACAATCTTTGCTGTTGTGAATATAATAGATT